TTCCCTTCTCTGTAACACTGGGGTTGAATTAAGAGACACTTTCTCAATTTTTAAACATTTTCTTTTGGGGATATACTTTTGTTTGTTTGTGGATTTTTTTTTTTTTTTTTTTTTTTTTTTTTTTTTTTTTTTTTAGACAGATTCTCATTATATAGCCTAGGCTGAACTGGAACTCATTATATAGGCCAGACTGGCCTCAAACTCAGAGAGATCCACCTGCCTCTGCCTCCCAACGAAAGGTGTGCACCACTACACCCAGCTTGGGTACACCCCAAAGGTCTCAACTTTTTCTCTAGATTATTAGAGATTCAAAAATAACTAATCTTGTGACTATGGCCAACTGAAAAGATCGGCAAATCCAATTCCTTAAAAGAATCAAAACTATGAAGATGGACAAGTTTATTCTAAGCAGTCATCTGTGTTCTGAAAACAGACCAGAGGAACAAAAATCTGAGACTTCATGCCTAAAGAACTGCTGGGCTCCTGCTGAGTCTGAGGAGTGGAGATGTTCTGACCTGGGCCTATTCCCATCCTACCTCACCACAACTCAGTGTGTAAAGGTTCTGGTAGAGGCAGGCAAATCTCTGAGTTCAAGGACAGTCAGGGCTACACAGAGAAACCCTATCTCGAGGGAAAAAAAAAAAAAAGAATAGGCAGCTCTTTTGCAGTTGAAGGAAGTACAACTTAGAAGGAAGGACCATGTCCATACTTGGTGACTGTCAATCAATGTGACTTCTCACAGGCAGGTCACCAAAAAGGAGGTCAAAGGGCTGGATCTACTAGCCTGAGGCTACAGTTATGGTGGGTCCATACACTGCTGAGGGTGAACATTTGTAAAGAAATCCCATGCCCTGTGTGATGCCCCTATACAATACTGATCCGAAAAGCTTTTTATTCAGGGTCCAATTTAGGAAATTAAATGGGGGAAATGGAACATCAAACATTATAAAATTCCTTAGAAATCAGAAGAGAGACTGAGGAGGTAGTTCAGAAATAGAGGACATGCTTAGCGCACACAATGACCTGGATTCAGTCCTCAGCACATGTGGTGCTCGCACAAGACTGCAGCATCTGTCTTGGTCATGTTCTCCCTTCCCCCGCCCCCTCCCACTTGCTGTGGGGAAGCAGCAGGTATTAGTACATGCATGGTTTTAGTCAGTTGCTGCCTCTCCCGTTGGACTAACACAGTCTTATGGAGAGGAGCTGAGGGAGGATGAAAGTCAGTAACTGGACCTCCAATTAATCTAACAGCTTGTGACTAGAAGGCCAGGTAAGAAAGCCTGGAAGCAGCCGGGTGGCGGCGGCAGCGGCGGCGGCGGCGGCGGCGGCGGCGGCGGCGGCGGCGCACGCCTTTAATCCCAGCATTTAGGAGGCAGAGGCAGGCGGATCTCTGTGAGTTCGAGGCCAGCCTGGTCTACAGAGCGAGATCCAGGAAAGGCGCAAAGCTACACAGAGAAACCCTGTCTCGAAAAACCAAAAAAAAAAAAAAAAAAAAGAAAGCCTGGAAGCAAATCTTTGAGTCTTTTCCTGAGACCACAGCCTAGTAGGCAGTTTGACTGCAGAGATCTTTAATGGAGGTATCCAGCTAGCTGTACTCCTAGATTCCTGACCCAACTTTGTGGAATAAATGTTGATTTGTTTGTTTTTAGTTTTGTTTTGGCTTTTGAGACAGAGTTTCTCCGTGTATCCTGGAATTCACTCTGTAGACCAGACTGGCCTCAAACTCACAGAGATTCACCTGCCTCTGTCTCCCTAGTGCTGGGATTAAAGGTGTGTGCCAACTCCCAGAAAAATGTTCATGTTTTAAGACACCAAGTTTGAGGGTGATTTGTATGCAGTAATAGACACAACACAATGACCAATCTTTAAAGATTATTCCCTTTTGTTTTTTGTGATGCTGGATATCAAAACCAGGGCTTGCCCATACTAGTCAAACCTTTTAAGAGTTTTTCAAGTTCACTTTATTTTATTTTATTTTTTTTGGTTTTTTCGAGACAGGGTTTCTCTGTGTAGCTTTGCGCCTTTCCTGGAACTCACTTGGTAGCCCAGGCTGGCCTCGAACTCACAGAGATCCGCCTGGCTCTGCCTCCTGAGTGCTGGGATAAAAGGTGTGCGTCACCACTGCCCGGCCAACTTCACTTTTTTTGAACTGTGTTTCCAAAGGCAGACTGATATTAATAGAGAACATATACTTAGGAGACAGAGAGAGGCAGGCAGATCTCTGTGAATTTGAGGCCAGCCTGGTCTACAGAGTGAGTTCCAGGACAGCCAGCTACAGAGTGAGAACCTGTCTAGTCTTGAAAAAAAAAATATGGAACATAAATTGGCAATCTTTTTTTTTGTTTGTTTGTTTTTTTCGAGACAGAGTTTCTCTGTGTAGTTTTGGTGCCTGTCCTGGATCTCGTTCTGTAGACCAGGCTGGCCTCGAACTCACAGAGATCTGCCTGGCTCTGCCTCCCGAGTGCTGGGATTAAAGGCGTGTGCCAGACTTTGGATTTTTAAGGTCAAATTCTAGATTCCATTAGTCTACATTCCAAGCAAAAAGTAGGCTAGTGAAACCCGAATTTTACTAGCAGAAGTAACAGAAGAAGTGAAAATACTTTTATGAATATCATGGGAATATGAACTTATTAAAGTCTGAAGATCAGTCTTGCATTAGGAGCTATGGGAGAGAAAATTACAGTATGAAATGATCAGATTCCTTAAGGGAAAGATTCACTTTCACTGAAGGCAACTGTGGAGATTTCCGGTCCAACAGGAGGCAACCCTGCACTTTAAGATCCTACAGCTGACCTCCTGTGGATTTCACTACCACCTTCACCCCGCCCTTTTGTCCTTCCTTCCATGGATCTTGAAGGCATTTCCTAGCAAAGAGCCAGCACATTCAACTTCTACTTAGAGCATGCTTTCCAGAGAGGGCACCCCTGACAGAGGATATTTTTCCTAGAGGCAGGAAGATTACTGTGACTTTGAGGCCAGCCTGGTCTACACAGTGAGTCACAGGACAGCCAGGGCTACACAGTGAGACCCTGCTTCCAAAAACAAGACCAAACAAACAAAAACACTTAATTTTCTGGGGCTGTGGAGATGGCTCAGCAGTAAGGAGACTTGATACTCTTCTGGAGGACGGCAGTTTGGTTCCCAGCATCCACATCAGATGGCTCACAACCGTCTGTAACTCTAGCTCCAGAGGATCCAATACATAAAACAAAAATAAAAAAACCTTTAAAACAAAATTTTTTCCTAAATGCTCAATTTGGCCAATACTGTACACTTAAGCATGAATTCAGAATTGTATTACATCATTTTTTTTCAGCTACGGTACTAAGTTCATGCAATAATAAAAGATAATGTAAAATCTTTTATAATAATAATTTATGATAATGTATAAAGCAAATCCATGCAGACAGAAAGTAGATTAGTGGTTGCCAGGAGCTGGAAAACATACTTGCTAATAGGTAGAGAATGATAAAAAAAATTATGCACTCAGAAAATGTGGATAGTGACAGCATTTGAATATTCTAAAAGTTGCTAGATTGTATAGTATGTAGAATTGGTGCTGGAGAGCTGGCTCAGCAGTAAAAAGCATTTGTTGATCTTGCAGAGGACTTGGATTTGGTTCCCAGCACCCACATGGTGGTTCACAACCTCCTCCAATGCCCTCATCTGACCTTCAAGGGCATCTGTATGCATCTGGTGTATGTACATACATGCAGGCAAGACACTCAAACATAAAGTAAGTGTTGGATTTTGATATGTGAATTATATCTCCATTAATAATGAAACACATTATCGTTAGGATTTTCTGTTAGAGACAAGGTCTCATTTTATAGCTCTCAATTGCTTCAAACTTGCAATCGTCCTGCTTCAGCTTCCAGAGTGTGCCACCGTGCTCAGCTCTCTAGCACACATGTCATTTTTCTTTTTTCCTACTTTTTGTTTTTTTGGTGTGGGCATGTATGTGTGTTGGTGGCCCAAGGTTGATGTTAGGAATTGTCCTTAATTTCTTTTTAACCTTATTCATGGAAAGACGATCTCTCAACCAAAGTTTGCTCTGGGGATCCTGTCTTTCCTGCTAAGCCTACCTGGCATTTCTGTGAGTTCTGGGGATCTGAACACCGGTCCTCACACTTACATGGCAAGTACTTTAACCACTGAACCATTTCCTCCCAGCTGGTAGCGTATAATTTTTTGACATAGCTCTTACGAATAATATACGACCGACATTTGTCAAGTACCTTGTAGGCCAGGTCTAATCTAGAGGTTCTGGGAGGCAGAGAAAAGCAAAGCCAGCAGTAATTCATGGTCCTTCACTGTGTCACAGACTAGTGGAGAGACAGGTGTGGTTTTTGTCTCCTATGTGATTGTGCTATTTCTTTAGAACATATGTTTGGGTCTGCATTTGTGTCATTAGGAACAATTATCACTGCCATGAAAATGTATTTATTCAGCATCAAATTATCTCTGATGCATGGAGTGCTGTCTTGAGCGGGTTGGACATACTTTAATTCCTTCTCCGGAGTAATTTGCAGTCTGAAAGAGACGACGACACAGGAAGTCAAATGAAGTCATTTTAATTTTAAAAAAAACCATTTAGTGACTGAGTGTATAAACATATCAGATTAAATGTTTGTTTATTAGAGATGCTTGAGTGACTGACACAATACACGTCACAGTGATTTACAGTAGGCTGAGGTGAGAAGTGTTGACACGTGCCTTTCGTTAAGTCTGGAAAACATTTATCTCTGGAACGGGTTAACTGAGGAGACAGGCTGCTCAGAGATCTACAGAGAGGGAAGAAAAGGGAATTCCAAACTCCCAGCAAACGTAGAAAAAAAGAATTAGGTATTTGGTCTCATTCGGCGACTTGTTCCTTTCCTTATTAGTTACTTAGTGATAACCTCCATTTCCACATTAGTGAAATGGAAATGACTACAGTAACTTTGAAAATAAAATCAAAGCCAGCAGTGGTGGCCCACACATTTAATCTCAGCACTCACAAGGAAGAGGCAGGTGCATCTCTGTGTGTTCGAAGCCAGCCCGGTTTACATAATGAGTTCCAGGATAGCCAGGTCTATGTAGAGGCACCCTGATACAAAACAAAACAACAAAACACAAGAAAATTAAATCATATAAAGGAACAAATCATGTAATGCATGGTATAAATCAAGTTAAGCATCACACAAATGATAGCAATCCTTAGTGTTAAGAGAAAATCTAGAAGGGGGGAAAATAAGTGAAAATATACCTGAACTCCTCCATTCAGTTTTTGAACTGCTGGGACCTAGAACTCATTTTAAGGAGAAAAGGGAGCCTCACATCAAAAGAGCCCAAACCAAGTTTCTTCTCTTTGAATTTTAGACCTAAGCTATAGACTATCTTTATTTTCTACCATCAATTTTATTCTATTGGAACATTTCCTTTTTCTTTTTTTTTTCTTCTGATTTTTTGAGACAGGGTTTCTCTGTGTAGTTTTGGTGTCTGTCCTGGATCTGTAGACCAGGCTGGCCTCGAACTCACAGAGATCCGCCTGGCTCTGCCTCCCGAGTGCTGGGATTAAAGACCTGCGCCACCATCACATTTCCTTTTTCTATTTTCATTCATCTGACCACTAAGAGATCAGGTCCTGCCAGAAGGTATTTGTAAAGTGATAACATTCTTCTAGCCCTTTCCTGAGGTTTTTCAAAGGAAGTGAAAATGTTTGGATGTGCTTGCTACCAGGGTCTCCAGTTCGTTTGATGGCTGCCCATTCGATGGTCGGTACTCATTTTTCAGCTATTCAATTTTGTTTGTTTGGTTGGTTTTTCAAGACAGAGTTCTCTGTGTAACCTTGGCTGTCCTGGAACTCTCTCTGTAGACCAGGCTGGCCTCCATCGCACAGAGATTAAAAGATTAACTCAGAGGGATTAAAAGCATGCATCACCACCGACCGGCTTCAACTACTCTGTAATTCTATACCAGTGTTAGTGCTCCGTCATTAGCTCTTGCTGTGATTTCTACAGCCGCCTAATTCAGAACAGTTTTTTAGGGTTTGTAGCTCCTGGAGATCCAAAATTATCCTAGAAACAAGCCTTGCTCAATCCAGTCCAGTTTATGAAAAAATGAGCTTAATGATTAAACTAAGAAATCAATACACATTCTAAACCATTTTTAACCAATCTGGAACGTGTATGTGTATATGTGTGTGTGTGTACATAAAAAGACTAAAGGTCCCTGGGCCAGCAGTCCAGAGAGAGCTTGTAACTCCAGTGCTTTCCTTAACTGGCTTAAAGACATCATATCCTCTAGGGTAGACTTCATATTCTCTAGGGACGAGTCCAGTGTTTTCCCAACCTATGGGTCACGACACCTTTGGGAGGCCAATCAAAACGAAAAACACAGATATTTACATTACAATTCGTAACAGTAGCAAAGTGACAGCTATTAAGTGGCAACAAAATAATGTTATGGTTAGGGGTCACCACAACATGAAGAACGGTATTACAGGGTCGCAGCTTTAGGAAGGTTGAGAACCACGGCTCTAGTTTCCCCACCTACAAAGACAAGGGTTAGGCTCGATGGTACCTGTCTCAGGGTAAGTTCCCAGCCTAAGACGCCGTGAGTACAACATGAGTAAAATCCCTCCTTGAGGTTGGGGCTGTAGAGCGCCAAAGTCAGAGCGCGCAGGCCGTGCCAGGGCGTGGGTTCGCGTCCCGGGGAGCCGAGGAGGACACCGGGGACTTGAGGGGAACTCACTGGATGTGAACTCTCCGGGTCCAGGCGGCGGGGGCGGCCGCGGAACACCAACGGGCGTTAATGTCTGTAAACTCCTTACCTAGACTAGCAACCCATCACGTGTCCCCGCCACTTCTCACCGACCTTGGGGGTCCACGGGATCCGGTCTAAACTTCAAAACCCCGCCCTCCGGAGGGGGCGGAGCCGGGTTTAGTCCTGCGCTTGCGTAGTGTGGTTCTAGGGCTAAGGTCGAGCCGCCCGCCGGCCCCTCGCGGTTCATCGAATCCCGCGAGATCTCAAGCGGGTGGACGCGCAGGGGGTCAGTGCATCCGGGCATCGGAAAGCTGCTGGAAGTCTGCGGGGGAGACAGCTCCGAACCGGGGTGACCTGCGGGCGTCCTCGCCGAGCTCCGGGAGACACCGGCGGTATAGCCTGGGACTCTAGACTAGGGAGTGCCCGATAAGCCGGTGCTCTTCGCTTTTAAGAGTTGTTAGGGTAAACGGCATGCAGTTGGGCATGGTTGTTTGAGGTGCCTCAGATTTGACCATCTTTTGAGCGCCTACTGTGTGCCACGCATGAGGGATATACTTAAATCATGAAAAAAAGAAAAAAAAAAAAAAGAAAAAGCTCTTGGTGCTGAGGATCTAGCCAGTCGGCTTGAAATTCTGGCCAGCCGATGAGTAATTTCTGTGAGAGGGGTTGGTAGTCGGAGCTACAGAGGAAGATTGGTTTCCGAGGGAGGGAAGAACCGTGCAGGAATTCTCACACGATGGCAGAGAGGGCAAAGGGAAGGTCACCTGGGTCCTCTGTGGCAGAATGGTTGAACAAAATCCGGCTAAACACAAGGCATATTTTACTAAAAGGTGTCGGGCCCGGGTTCGAGTCCACAGCGTCGTGTTAGGACGCTCATGTTGTAAAATGGTGTGTTAGAATGGTTTCAAGGGTGAGTGCCGAGTTGTGCGACCTTGGGCAAGTCATTCAGCCTCCTTATAGCTTCTGGCAGAGGAGACGACATTTGCAACTTCATCGTGGTGGTGTTTGAGGAGGGAGTTGTATCTAAGCAAGCAAATTAATAATTTATTGTTTTCTGAACTGGGGATTGAATCCAGGGCCCCTTTGCCCCCCATGCAAGCTAAGCAAGTGTTTTTTTACTACTGGGCTGTATCTCCAGTTTGTTTTTTGAGACAGGGTCTCACGAATTTGCCCAGGCTGGCCTTGAACTTGCCATCCCAAGTCTACCCAATAACTGGGATTACAAATGTACACTTACCATGTCCAGAGCAAGCAAAACTCACTCACCCGGTTTTGGGGCACCTGGAAACATTCAGGAACTAAGCTGAGAGAAGACTTTTCCAAGGTCCCACTTGGTGGGAAACAGAACGTGTTCTCTGCTCTTGTGAATTGAGTAAGCTTTTCCTGACATTGGGTGGCTACGTAGACACTCAAGACATTTTTTTATGACTAACCAGATCTTTTGGTGGTATTATTTTGGAACAGTAACACCAGTTACAAACCCACTTAATTTAACAGACAAATAGGATTTGCTGAGGTTTACCCTGCCCACCTCCACCTCATCTGTGATGACTTTTCACCCACCGTCCTTCAGATCTTGAATTTGGTCTGTTTTATTTTAGATGGAAATTTGTGAGTAAATCAAAGTTTCTTGTATAATTTGAGTGTGTTGATTGTTATGCTGTTGAGAGAGATTGCAGTTATCCATTAATTACTTGTATTTGGCACGTGAAGGTTTCTGATTTAAAACAAAAAGAAGTAACTATAGTAGCACCCTTTTCATGATGACAAGTAGTGTTTAGTCATTTCTGTTTGTGGTGCAGAGTTAGCAGAGTGGTCTGCATAAGTTTGGAGATACTTCACCACGGAGCTATGTGCCGAGTCATAGATTTTATTTTTTCTTTTGTAGATAGGATCTCCCATGTTGTCTAGGGGGCTTCAACTTGAGATCCTCAGGCCTCAGCCTCTGGAGTCCTGGGATTACAGGACTATGCTGGCTATATTATACTGGGTTATGTTGTGTTTTGTTTTGTTTTTTCAAGACAGGGTTTCTCTGTGTAGTTTTGGTGCTTGTCCTGGATCTTGTTCTGTAGACCAGACTGGCCTTGAACTCACAGAGATCCGCCTGGCTCTGCCTCCCGAGTGCTGGGATTAAAGGCGTGCGCCACCACTGCCCGGCTGTTATGTTGTTTTTTTGAGACAGGGTCTCTTGTAGTCCAGTCTGACCTTGAATTTATGTAGCCTGGCTGGCTTTGAACTCAGTTCTCTTGCCTCTCCCTCCCAGGTGCTGGGATTACAGGTGGGAGGTATCACCGTAGGCTCTATTACGCATATTTTAGACAAATAAAGCATAATGCTGAAAGTAGAGAACAATAGGAAACTTGACTGTGTGATGGTTAACACTGATGGTCAACTTGACAGGATCCAGAGTCCTGAGTAGACAAGCTTCAAGACATCCCTGTGAGGAATTAGCTGAGTTGAAGCTAATTGAGGTAGGAAGACTCCCCTAAGGTTGGCACCATGTCCTGTGTTTGGGTCCTGGACTGAAAAAAAAGGACAAAGCTAGTTGGACACCAACATTCACTGTCCTCTGGTTCTTGACTGTGGGTGTCTTGGGACCAGCTGCCTCAAGCGCCTGCTATGACTTCTCCACAATGGACTGTGCCCTTGAACCGGGAGGCAGAATAAACCCTTTCTCCCTCAAGACTTCTTCTGTCAGGGTATTCCATCACAGCAACAGGAAAAGACACTGGGACAACTTGGAAACACTCCTTTGAAAATTCAGCCATCACAGTACGCTTAATAACCAAGGACAGTCTGACCAACTGTGTTGGAGTAAACTTTCTTTTTAATTTTTATGTGATTCCTATACATGGTGATTCCGTAGAAAATGTGCCTGGCTGGGTGTGATGAAAGGTACTTGTAGTCACAGATAGTTAGAGGTGGGGACAAGGGAAGCGCTGAACTCAACTCTGGAATTTGAGCACCTAGCAGCCCCATTTCAAAAAAAAAGTTCCCCAGGGACTAAATGATATGATGAAATAAGATAGCACCACCTTGAAAGATTCCTGCTTCAACCCCCACTCCCCTCCCCCCCCAAAAAAAGACTGAAGCACTTGCCTCCCGTGTGCCAGGATCTGGGTGCAATCCCTAGTAGTGGGGGGTGGGGGTGGGAAGGGAGAGAAATTGAATCTCTTCGGACCTCTAAATCTACCTGTCACCTTCAACTAAGAAACTAGGAGAAAAAGTCGCATAACACCGAGGAACCAGTCAGGACATTCTACAGACAAAGGAGTGAAGGAACAGAGCGACAAGGAGTGAGATACAAAGGAGCGAGAGACCCCAACAAAGGAATGAGAGACACCCCCCCCCAAAAAAAAAAAAAAAAAAAAAACGCAGTGTGTGAACCTTGAGTCCTGATTCTGGTCATCAGCTGTGAAAACATCCACTAGGCGTTTGGGCAGTTTGAGCACTAGATGTTGGGGTAATACGTTACCTGTGCTGCTGATTCTGTTAATAATGGCACAGTGCTTGTGTTGCTTATAACTGAAGGATTTTTGAGTGAAACAGGACAATAATGGGATTTGCTTTAAGGGAAAGCTGGAGATTATTTTATCCTGACAAAGTGTATCCCAAAGGAAGGAGTGAATTTGAGAGTAACTAGCCATTTCTGCCACCACTAGTGAGATTATCAGTATGCACATTAGAGAAACTAAAGGAATAGTGTGAGTTTCTGTGTTCATCATCCTATCTTACTGAATGTTACCAACATCAGACATTTAGTGCTTTTTTCTCTTTGAGTCCTGGGTTTCAGGCCTAGGACCTCATACATACCAGGAATGTGCTCTACCACTAAACTGTGTCTCCAGTCCTAAACATAGTTTTTAAAAAATGTGCTATGTATATGAGTGTTTGCCTGCATGTATGTGCATTAAGTGCATGTCTAGTGCCCAAGGAGGCCGGGAGAGGGTACTGGATCCTCTGGAACTGGAGTTATAAATAGTTGTGAGCCACCATGTAGATGTTAGGAACTGAACTCATGTCCTTTGCAAGAGCAGCAAGTGCTCTAATGGCTGAGCGAGCCATGTCTCCCGTTCTGACACTTTGGTGGAAGAAGAGGACTGACTCTTGGAAACTGTCCTCTGACCACCACATGGACAACACAGTATACATGCCTCCTCCCGACCCCCAAATAAAAATATAAAACACAACAACAACAAACAACTCCAAACCCATGAGAAAGAGAAAGCTAGAAGGTGAATCTCTGGGGCTCCGTTGGCAGCCAGCAGCTATGGATGAGCTGTATACCAATGAAGAGACTCTGTCTCACTAAACAAGGTGAATGACATCCAGGAAACAACACCCGAGGTTAAGCTCTGGCTCCCACATACATCTGTACACATGTACATCTACATAAAAACTCAGAACCACATACACAGCCCACATACACACCTGTACATATGTACATCTACATACATTCTCAGAACACATGCACAAAAGAACCTTCCAAAAATTGGTTGAATTACAGTTGGAGAGGGGTTTGTTGTTGTTGTTGTGTTTTTGCTTATTTGTTTGAGACAGGGTTTCTCTCTGTAGCCCTGGTTGTCCTGGAACTCACACTGTAGACCAGGCTGGCCTTGAACCTGGAGATCTGCCTACCTCTGCCTCCCAAGTGCTGGGATTAAAGGTGTGTACCATTATGTCCAACTAAACAGTTGTTTAAAAAATTTTTTTTTTAATTTATTTTGTGTGGGTGTCAGGGCTATGTGCATGCCATGGCACATGTGGAGATCAAAGGGTAACTTCTGGAAGTTATGTGGGTCCTGGAGATCAAATTCAGGCCATTAAGCTTGGCATCAGGAGCCTTTACCCACAGAGCCATCTTGCTGGCCCAAGCAGTTAAGTTTTTAGTTTGCTTTGTGATATTTGGGATCCCATCCTGGTTGTGCATGTTAGGCAAGTGCTTTACTGCTGAGCTGCGTGTCCAGTTCCTAGGTTACTACTTTTTATAGTTACAGCTTGACTAACTGCCTAATTCTGGAGGAACATGAAATGTTTTTTTTGTTGTTGTTGTATGTTTGTTTGTAATCAAGCCTTAGTAAGATCCTGATGGCATGAAGACAGATGTCTCAGAATCATCCAAGCCGTCCCCCCCGCCCCTTTCAATCTTCAGTGAACTTGATCCTGTTGGCCAAGAATTCTAACTGGACTTAGTTGTTTCTCTCCATATGTTTACGTTAGGAAGCAAACTGATGGGAGAGTATTATATAAGGTTTTAGTTTCTGCTCTTTTCAGTTCATGTGTTTTGGTGTTTGCCTGTGTGTATGTCTGTACACCACATGCCTGCAGTGCCTGAGGAGAACAGAAGAGGGCGTCAGATCCCCAGTACTGAAGTTGTGAGCTGCCAGGTGGTGCTGGGAACTGAACAACCTTGGGTCCTTGGAAGAGCAGCCAATGCTCTTAACCACTGAGCCATCTCTCCAGCTCTTTTTTAGATTTTAAATACAGTTTTTCCTCTCCATTTAGAAGCACAAATGGAGTTTTAAATTTTTCTTTCCTTGGTTTTTGGAGACAAGGTGTCTCTGTGTAACAGCCTTAGCTGTCCTGGAACTTGCTTTGTAGACCAGGCTGGCCTTGAACTCAGTTTTAAATTTTTTAATTGAATACTTCATATTATCTTTCTAATGATATATTTTTTTTATAATTATAGGAATTATTTTCTGTAGAAGTCTTGTGAGACCACCGCACAAATAGAGTGATGATTATACAAAGAGTGGTATTGAATTCCCGACCTGGTATGTATTCTGTGATAAAGGAACAATTGTGCTCTTTGGTAATTACTACTGGAAATGGAAAAATAAAAACTAACGTGATACCAGTGTGGTAAACTAAGGTAGTAAAGAAAATTAAGACATTAGTACATTTCAGATCTCTAAGTTTGAGTCCAACCTAGTCTATAGAGCAAGTTCCATGATAGCCAGGACTACACAGAGAAACCCTGTCCCCCCCAAAATAAATAAAAGTAAAAACCCAAAAAACTAGTAAATGTATTAGATTAAACTTCTTAATGTCATATTCAGTTTTCAGATGTTAACTTTTCAAGGCCATTTGAATTGTTATATTTGAAAGTTTATATTGAAAGTGTATATATAATTTTTTTTTTCCTTGTGGTAGGTATGACTGATTATTAACATTTGATTTTCTCTTTTATGTGACATACACCATCTTTTGTCGGTACTGATATCTGCCTGGTCATAGAAACACAGGCGTGGAAATAATCCGCGAAGTGTGGCCTTGTTTTGTTGCCCGCCTGCCGTGGTTTCTGCCCTCAGTTATGAACAGTTAGCGGAACACCTTTACAGGGATCCCACCTTGGAAATCTGATGGGTCTTGAAAAGAAGTTTGCTCTTGTTCAGCATAATTCAAGATGAATACACTTCAGTGCTAATTGCTTCTGCTTAAGCATTTTTCTTACAGCTCAAGATTTCTAGTTACTGTATAAAAACTATAAAAACAAAATAGTAAATGTCCATGTAAGCCTCTGCTTGTTTCTTAAAATGAAGATGGAAGATTATGTAAATTTATTTTGGCTTTTCTGTTACTTTGTAAATTTTAACTCCATAATTAAAAGAAAAAAGTTGAGTTCAATTTTTTTTTCTTTTTGGAGAACTTATTTTTATTTTATGTGTATAGGGGTTTTGCCCACATGTCTGTCTGTGTACCATGTACATACATGTACTGGAGGCCAGAAGAGGGCAATGGATCCCCTGGGACTGGAGTTAAAGATGTTAGGGGCTGTGTAGGTGTTGGGAATCAAACCTCAGATCCCTGGAAGATCAGCGGATGCTCCTCCCTGGTCCTCTTGCGGTCCCACCCCTGCCCCTAGCCTCCTATCCCCCTCACTCCCGTTTTTTAAAGAGAAGGTCTTACTATGTAGCCCTGGATGGCCTGGAACTCACCATATAGACTATGGTAGCCTCGATTCACTGCCTCTGCCTCTGCCTCCCGAGTGCTGAGATTAAAAGGGTGCACCACCACCTGACCACACAAGAGAGTGGGAGTTTTCATTTTCACAGTCTTCCTATCATTTTGAAACAGAATATTTTATTTACCTATAATCACTTTTTAAAAAACAAAATTAGTTTACAAGAGTATTTCTGATGATGATGATCAAGAATGATGAGAATTTTTTAAAAAACTATGCTGAGTTACTCTTGCTTGAATTAAAAGGGAGTACTTTAAATCCTAGGGTAACATTTAGAAAATAATAAGTGTATGAGAAAGTAACTTTCTTCTAGGCATGGTAGTGTGTACCTTTAATCCCAGCATGGGAGGCAGAGGCAAGTCCATCTCTCTTGAGTTGGAGAACTCAGCCAAGGCTACATAGTGAGACTGTCTAGGGGGGGAAAAAAAAGCAATGTTTTAACTTAATTTTTTCCTTGAAATTTTAGGGAAAAATGGTAATCCAGTGGCAGAGAATTTCAGGATGGAAGAAGTCAGTTTACCAGATAATATCAATGAAGGACAAGTTCGAGTCAGAACTCTCTATCTCTCTGTGGATCCCTACATGGTAAGAAACAGGGTGTTGATGAAAATAGTTCTGTTCTTGTATTTTGGTGTTGTTGCATCTGAATTTTATTATGCTTTCTGTAGGACTAATAAATATTTGAGAAATCATGCCTTTTGTTGTTATTGTTATTGTTCTTCCTCTTCTTCCTTCCTCCTCCTCCTCTTTCTTCTTCTTTTCTTCCTTCTTCTTCTTCTTCTTCTTCTTCTTCTTCTTCTTCTTCTTCTTCTTCTTCTTCTTCTTCTTCTTCTTCTTCTCTCCTCCTCCTCCTCCTTCTTCTTCTTTTCTTGACCGGGTTTCTCTGTATAGCCCTGACTGTTCTGGAACTTGCTTTGTAGACCAGGCTGGCCTTGAACTCTGGGATTAAAGACAAGCGCCACCACGCCCGGCTTAACACTGTCTTTTTAACACACTTACAGACATAATACTTGGTGTGAACAATCTCTCAGGTGGTTTTTCTTTTCTTTTTTTTGATGGTTAATTTTGAGCATATTTCCATGTGACTATTGGCCATTTGGATGTCTTCTTTGAAGAAAAATCTACCCAGAGTACATGAGCATCTTACAATTGAATCATTTGGGCCTGAAGAGATGGCTCAGCAGTTGAGAGCAATTCCTGTTCTTGCAGAGAACCCATATTCTATTCCCAACACCTACATGGTAGCTCACAGCTGTCTGTAACTCCAATTACATAGGGTTCAGTTCTCTCTTGTCAACTTTTCAGGCACCAGGCACACACATGGTGCACATACATACATACAGGCAGAGCATTCATTCACACACATGGTGCACATACATACATTACATACATGCAGAGCATTCATTCACGTTAAAAAATAAATCTGGGGAAAAAACAGAAAAATGTCTCAAGTTTCATGGAAAATTAAAAAAATTATCTGTTCTATTGAGTTTATTTTCTAAATATAAACCCTGGTACCTCATATTTGTTCTGTAAGAATTATCTCCTAGCCAGGACAGCCAGGGCTATTATACGGAGAAACCATGTCTTGAAAAAACAAAACAAAACAAAAATCTCCTATTTTTATGGGTTGTCTTTGCACTCTGTTGCAGTGACAATATACATCTTGCTGAAACACAAAAGTTGTTCATTTTGATAAGGTCCAGTGTACTACTTTTTCTTTTGTCACATATGTTTGGTCTCATATTTAAGGCTTTGCTTCACCCAGCATTATGAAGATTTAACCCTAACTTTTCTTCTAAGAGTTTTAATAGTTTTTTTTTTTTTTTTGGTTTTTCGAGACAGGGTTTCTCTGTGTAGCTTTGCGCCTTTCCTAGGACTCACTTGGTAGCCCAGGCTGGCCTCGAACTCACAGAGATCCGCCTGGCTCTGCCTCCCGAGTGCTGGGATTAAAGGCGTGCGCCACCACCGCCCGGCGAGTTTTAATAGTTTTAGCTTTAAAATTACATGTGTGGCCCATTTTGAGTTAGTATTTGTATGTGGTATGAGAAAGGGGTCTGTCTGTATTATAGTTCTCCAAGGAGATAGAAACTGGGAGACAGATACAGTTATAGAGACATAGATAGATGAGAGGGGATTTGTTAGGGCAGTCAGCTAACCTAATTATAGAGACCGAGAAGCCTGTAGCCTGGTTCAGTCTACGTCAGAAGGAGACTTGAGAAGCAGGGACACAGATAACGAAGGTCTTACTCTGAGGCCATTACTGGAGCCTGGGAGCCTGCTGCACTTGTCCGGTGGAAATGGGATTCCCAGAGACCAAAGGCCAAAGAACTTGCAGCTCTTGAGTCTAAGGGCAGAAGAAAGGTGTCCACTCCAGAGGAGGACTGGACTCTTCCGTATTCCACGTTTTGTTTTCTTCCTCCAGCTCCTGACACCTGACTAGATGGTGCCTTGTGGGCAGAGCTAGTCCACTGAGCCCACCAGTTCATGTCCACATTCCTCAGAAAACACCCTTACAGACATGCTCAGAGACATCTCAAGTAAGCATCTCAATCTAGTAAGACAGACATCTAAAATTAAGTCTTTTTCTTTCTTCCTTTTCTTTTTTTTCTGTAGTACTGGGGAGTGAACCTAGGCCTTTGATGTTAGGCAAGCACTCTACCATTGAACTACAACCCCACTGATACCCTAGATGTATCATCACAGGGTTCGGCTTCAGTCTTTTGCAGGTATATGTACAATTGTGTCAGTATCATTTATTGAAAAGACTGCTTTGCTCAGTACCTTTGTTGAAAATCAGCTGACCATGAGCTGGGCATGGTGGCTCATACCTGTACCCTAGCACTTGGAAAATGGAGGCAGGAAGGTTACTGCAAGTTTGTGGCTAGCCTGAGCTACAGTGAGACTTTGTCTAAAAAAATAAATAAGTTGTAAATCAGTTGATTGTAAGAGTTTACTTCTAGACTCAAGTTTTATCCCATTAGTATGTGTGTTATCCAAATGTGCCTTGCTGCCTTGATTATTATGACTGCAGTAAGTCTGGAAAGTAGCAGGCATGAATCTTCCAATTAATTCTGTGTTTGTTTGTTTGTTTTTTGTTGTATTTGAAAGGTTTGTTTATTTTGGTTTGGTTTTTCGAGATGGGGTTTTTCTGCATAGAATCCCTGGCTATCCTGGATCTTGCATTGTAGACTAGGCTGGCTTCAAACTTAGAGATCCGCCTGCCTCTTCCTCTCAAATGCTGGGACCAAAGGCGGTTGCCACTACCACCTACCAATTCTGTTTTTTTTTTTTTTGTTGTTGTTGTTTAAAATGTTTTACTATATTATTTGTGTGTGTGTGCATGTGAGTTGGCCCAGCTTGCAGGAGTCTAGTCTCTCCTTTTTCCATTTGAGTCCTGAGGACCAATCTTAGGTCGTCAGGCTTGTCAGCAAGCACCGTTACCTGCTGAGCCTTCCCACCAGCCTTCTAAAATAAGTTGGAGTGTTTGTCCTTTCCTCTTTGAGTTTGTAAACAGTTTGAATTAACTATAACCACTGAGCCATCTTTCCAGTCCCAGCTTATTTTTTAAATCAGTATGTGTATGCACATGCATATGCTGTGGCATACATGTGGAGGCCATAGGACAACTGTACAGTCAGTTCTCCCTTCCACCTTGATGTGGGTTCAGGGATCAAACTCGGGGTGTCAGGCTTTCATTGACTGGCTGGTAAGCAAACCCCCAGGAGCTGCTTGGCACCAGCCCCCCCACCCCCCCCCAGTGCTGAGATTGAAGACACACACTGCTGCACCCAACATGAATCTTTAAAGCGTCCGAAAGGAGAAGCTGGGCCCTGGATGGTTTCTTTCATGAATTCCACGCAGTTTTAAATTTTTTGAAGTTACATTTATGTGTATGTGGTTTTGTGCATGATTGCACGTGCTCCTGCATGACTGCCATGGCTCACATGTGGAGGCCAGAGGACAACTTCTGAGAGTTGGTTCTTTCCTCCTTCCATCTTGTGGGTCCTGGGGATTGAACTGAGGTTGCCAGATGGGCTTGGTGACAGGTGCCTTTACCTGCTGAACCATCTCAATGGTCTTATTTATGTGTCTTTCTTTATGCCAGTATCATACTATTTTAATTACCACAGTCTAATTAGAACAGATCTGAATTTCTTTTCAGTTGTATTTCTTTACTGGTAAGAGCTAGGCACATGGTTTCCCCAATTTTTGCAAAATAAAGAAAAAAAAATGAAAGGGATAGAGCGAGAGAGACTTACATGCTTTTCATCAGCTTCCCTTAATGAAGGCTTTCTTTTCTCAGCGCTGTAAGATGAATGAAGACACCGGAACTGATTATCTAGCACCCTGGCAGCTGTCTCAGGTGGCGGATGGTGGAGGTATTGGAATTATAGAAGAGAGCAAGCACATACATTTGGCTAAAGGCGATTTTGTGACTTCTTTTTATTGGCCCTGGCAAACTAAAGCAATTCTAGATGGGAATGGCCTTGAAAAGGTGATGTATAATATAAAACTTTCTGATTTTTCTTCCTTTATTCTCATTTCTGCATTCATATATTTTGTTAGAGAGGGAATAGCATTTTCTTTTAGATAGCTGCCGAAATGTGGAAAGCCTTTGTCTTTTTTACTGTTGGCTATCACACATCACCAGAGAACGCTGTCATCTCAAATCAAATGTGTAATATAAAGCTGAACTATAAGCATAAAAATATTTAATGCTAAGAACTAGAAATCCCCCTATATATGCTACAGTTTACTAAGAAACTCTAGCTACATGAGGAATATATTTACTTCATGATTAAAATTCATCTAATGTCAGAAATCCAGATTTCAGTCATGGAGCCATGGAAAATGACCAGTACTTGTTTTGACCTACAAAACCTTGCAACTTCATTTAATTTGAACTAAAATGATGTATCATAGGGAAGATTCCTTATTTCTTTTGAACTCACAGACCCACCTGCCTCTGCCTCTCCAGTGCTGGGATCCAAGACGAGTGCCACCACCTCCCGACTATATCTTATTTCTTTATACTCCAGTTTCTTTTCTTGACAAGGGCCCTCTACATAGCCCTGGCTGACCTGTCACTAGGTAGACCAGGCTGTCCTTGAAATCAAACGCCTTTAATCCCAGCACTGGGAAGGCAGAGGCAGGCAGATCTCTTTTAGTTCCAGGACAGGCTCCAAAGCTATACAGAGAAACCAAAAAAGCAAAAACAATCTTTTTGTGTGTGGATGTTTTGCCTGCATCTATGGCTATGCACTGATTGTATGCTTGATACTGGAGGAGGCCAGAAGAGAACGTCAGAGTCCCCTAGAACTGGAGTTACAGATGGTTGTAAGCCACTGTGCGGCTACTAAGAATCAAATTCTGGTCTTCTAGAAGAGCAGCCAGTTCTTTGAACTGCTGAGCCATCTCTCCAGCCCCCCAGAGAATGGTTCTTGTGAGCTCCTACCTCCCATGAAATGATGTTACTGGGCTCAGTCTTGTGCAGGTTTTTAGTAGATAATCATAGCTGCCCTGAGTTGGACTATAATGGCCATGCTGTACCTTGAAGACACGTCTCCACAAAATGTCACCCCTTCATATGGCTCTCACATTTTTTTTTTTTTTTTTTTTTTTTTTTTTTTGGTTTTTCGAGACAGGGTTCCTCTGTGTAGCTTTGCGCCTCTCCTGGAACTCACTTGGTAGCCCAGGCTGGCCTCGAACTCACAGAGATCCGCCTGGCTCTGCCTCCCGAGTGCTGGGATTAAAGGCGTGCGCCACCACCGCCCGGCGGCTCTCACATTCTTTCTGTTCCCTCTCCTTCCATGTTCTCTCACCTTTAGAGTGGGTGGGTGGTACAGAGGTCTCTTGTGGCTCAGCTTCAACAGTCACTTGTTCTCAGCACTTTGACCAACTGTGAGTCTAGGCTATCACTGCTGCCCACTGCAGAAAGAGCCCCCACTGACCAGAACTGACAGCCACATTAGTCTGTGGGCAGAGACGTTATTTAGAAAGCAATCTGACAGGCACCTCTTGTCCATTTAGCAGAGCAAATGCGATAGCTTCTCCATTAGGGCTGTGATCCCCTGGCCACAGGCTCTGTCCAGGTTTACAGATCCTGATGTGAACTCCTTCTTCAGAACTGGACCTCACATCTGCTCAGAAAGTAGCTGGTTATCTGGACGTACTTGCTCCTGTTGTACCAATGGGCACATTTCGCCTAGCAGATTGGTGGTGTTGCATACAGAGTCCACAGCTGAGTAAGACTGTTGATGACATTTCTTCCCCAGCAGTTGACAGGGCACCTCCAGCACTGTGAGGACCAGCCGGCAGAGAGGGGACTTCTAGCTCAGTTACAATGTGATGTCTCTGTGGCTTGCCACCTGAGCAGGTAGTTAAGATCTTACCACCTGGTTCTGGTAGGCAACCAACAGCCGTGACAATTACCATTATTGTTTTGAAGCCTCTGTTACCAACAATTGGAAGGGAAGTAGCCCACCCATGGGCTGGGATTTTAATTTCATAATCTATGGCTTCAGGGAGCAACTCATTTACCCATGTAGTGTCTCTGTTCAAACGAGTTGGAAATTAGGTAAATGTTTATTTTGTAATTGCTCAGAGATTTAAGAACCTTCTGACTTTGCCTGTGTTTCACTATTTAAACATTTTTTCTCTATTGAGAAAAAACATTGGGAATTAACAACAACAACAAAAAAAACAACCTTAGTTTATGTGAGAATTGTTAAAGTTGATTTTATTAATCTGAAGAGAATTTTGGATTGCTTTTTCCTTTTTCCTCTTCATTCATATAGATTGTCTGTGTGTGAGTATATGGGTGCACATCGGGGTTCATGCACATGTGGAGTTGGAGGACAACTTTGGGTGTCATCTTCAGGAGCGCTGTCTAGCCTCCTCTGACACCGCTTGAAGTTGAGCCAGATTGGATGGCCAGTGAGCACAGGGAGTCATTCTGCTCTCTGCCAGGGTTGGGAGTGCAGTGTTTATAAAGGGTTCAGGGGTCAAACTCAGATGCTCATGACTGCAAGGCAAGAGCTTTACTGAGGAGCCATCCCCTTAACCCTCACTGTTTTTACTGTGTACAAATGGGCTAGAATTATAACAAGACTAAGAAGAGTCTCCTGTGGACTACGAAACACACCACACAATCTGGGCGGCTTAACCAGTGGGGACTCACTTCCTATTCTAAAGGTTAAAACCCAAGATTGAGTTCTGGAAAATTCAGTTTCTGGTCAGGTCTCTCTTAGCTTGCAGAAAAATACTTTGTTGTTGTTGTTTTTTGAGATAGAGTTTCTCTGTGTAATAGTCCTGGCTGTCCTGGAACCCACTCTGTAGACCAGGCTGGCCTTGAACTCACAGAGGTCCACCTGCCTCTACCTCCTGAGTGCTGGGGTTAAAGGCCTGCCCCACCATGGCCCAGCAGGAAATGTGTTCTTGCTGTGTCATCCAGTAACCTTCCAGGCAGTGAGGAGTGCTGCATCTGTTCCTTCTTCTAAGGACATACATGTATTGGATTAGGTCCCCAACTTTATGACCTCATTTAGCCGCAAATATTACCTTAAAGGTCTTGATCTTGATACTTATAGGGATATAGAGATTGAGCATGTGAAGTTGGGTGTGGAATACTATCCAGTCTATAACTCTAACTTCTTAGCATAAAACTGTAATGTCAGTATTGTTTAAAATGTCCGCCTTTCGTTTCAGGTAGACCCACAACTTGTGGACGAACATCTTTCATATTTTCTTGGAGCTGTGGGTATGCCTGGTTTGACTTCCTTGATTGGGGTCCAGGAAAAAGGTCACATATCTGCGGGGTCTAATCAGACAATGGTTGTCAGTGGAGCAGCAGGGGCCTGCGGATCTTTGGCTGGCCAGGTAAAGTTTCCAAAAATTACTTAACTTTTTAAAATAGAAGGCATAAACAGGTCACAGAGTACATGCATATAATTTACAAAATAAAATCGAGGGCAGGTGACGTAGCTCAGTTGGTAGAGTACTCGCCCAACATGCATGAAGCTCCAGGTTTGATCCCTGGTACCACATAAAACACCTAGGTGTGGTGACACACAGCTGTAATCTCAGCACTTCCGAAGCAGAGCAGGAAGATCAGAAGTTCAAGGTCATCCTCTGCTACTTAGTGAGTTCAGGCCCAGCCTGGAGTATATAAAAGTTTGTCACAAAAAGTAATTAATTTTAGGGTTAGCCGTTTATAAGTTGCCCATAATCCAGCAAATAACCACACACCCAAGAACATGCAAGCAACACTGATTAAACATAATGGTTATTTTTTTCAAGACATAAAAGTAGAAGGGACCTGATGTGATGAAGGAGGGATTCCAGAGGAATGGGAGAGAAAGGGAATGTGGCTGACTGTGACCAAACTACAGGATATACATACATGAAATGGTCAAGGATAAGTTCGATCTTAATTAAGAAAAGATTCGTTATTTTTGTTTGATGTGTTTGTGTGAGCACATGCATGTATGTTCGTGTGTCATATCCCTTGGGACTGGAGTTACAGGTGGTTATGAGCCTCCTGATATTGGTGTTTCAAACCAAACCCAGGCCTTCTATAAGAGTACTGAGTGCTTTTAACCACTGAGCCATCCCTCCAGACCTCTTATTTTAAATTTTTACTATGTCATTATTTTGCACATTGTTGGCAGAAATGGTCTTATTACCTGTTTGATTCTGTTGATAACAATGTGAAAAAACAAAACAAAACATGTTTTTGTGTCTCTTTCTCTGTTAACTGGAATAGATGTAGCAAATGTTAGAGTAGTTCTGTCATCCATATAGGGGTGAAAACCATAGAGATCTGTCTGTAACTCCTTGACTTAAAAGACAAACAAGCAGGGTTAGAGAGATGGCTCAGTGGTTCAGAGCACTCGCTGTACTTGCAGAGAGCCCAGGTTCAGTTCTCAGCACCATAGAGTGGCTTAGAACTCTCTATAACTCCAGTTCAGGGTACCCGGCTCTGCCTTCTGGCTTATCGGGCACCAGACATTCACATAATGCACATACATACATGCAGCCAAACACAAATAAATACATCTTTACAAAAATGACAAAGAAGGGTGTTGGGTTGTGGTTCAGAGGTTTGAACCCTTGCTAGGCATGCACGGAGCTCTATGTTCAGTTGCCTGCACTAAACAACAACGTAAAATCAAACTCTTATTTTAAAGAAATAAATAAGAATTCTTCTTCCACAAGAAGGTTATTTATTTATGTATATTTTGAAACGGAGTCACTTGTCTCCCTGACTGGCCCAGACTTACTATGTAGCTTAGGCTGGCCTTGAATTCCTATTCCTCCTACCTCCACCTTCCAAGTGCTGAGATAATAATAGTGCAGAAAGCATTTACTGAATTGTAAGTATGTAATAAATGTAGAAAGAACTGTACAAAGTTCAGTGTTTTATAGGTAATAGCTATATTAGTTAGTTATCTCTTGGCTGGGATGAAATGCCTGGCAAAGGCGACCCAAGGAAGGAGGGTTTTATTTGGTACCCAGTTCCAGGGTATGGTGCATTATGGCAGGGACGTCATGATAGTAGGAGCTCCAGGCAGCTGGTCACATTGCATCAACACTCGAGAAGCAGAAAGCAGCGAATGCTTGCACTCAGCTTGCTGTCTCCTGTGTACTCAGTGTGGTACCAGGCCCGTGGAATGGTACCACCACATTCAGTGGGTCTTCCCTTTTCAGTTAATCTAACCTAGGTAAGTCATCATGGACATGCCCAGAGGTTTGCTTTCATGGTGATGATTCTAGATCTAGTCAAGTTGGCTGTCAGGATTAGACAGCATGGTAGCTGTGGTGGTTTGAGTGAGAAATGGCCCCATAGTCTCCATTATTTGAACACTCACTGCCCAGTGAGTTTGGGGAGGTGGTGAGCCTTGCTGGAGGAAGTCTGTCTATCACTGCGGGCAAGCTTTGAGAGGCCATGGCCTCATCCTACGTCTAGTTTGCTCTTTCTTCTTCCTGCTTGTACCTGAGATGTGATCTCTGTTTCCTGCTCCCCCACCATGCCCACTGCTCGCTCCGTGCCTCCCTGCCCTCGGGGAACGGAAACCCAATAATCTCTTTCTCTCTTAAATTGCGTTTGGTTGTGGTGTCTTATCACAGCAGCAGAAAGTAACTGATACAGTAGCTTTTACAGCATGGGAAACAGAATAATGTATTCTAGCTATCATCTGTGTTCTCCACAGCCCTGAAAATTATTGAATTTTAAGAGTGATATTTTGGGTCTGATTTTTTAATTACATTAAAGTTGTGAATTTAAACTACATTTCATTTATTTATTTATTTATTTATTTTTAAGCATCACATTATCTGCTTTTAGTCTCTTTGGCTTTAATTTTTTTCTCTCCCTATTTCATTATTTTTTTTTTTGAGACAGGGTCTCTCTATGTAGGTGGGGCTTGAACTCAGAGATACACTTGTCTCTGCCTCCTGAGTTCTGGGATCAAAGGTGTGCGCCATCATGCTTTAAATGCTTTAGTTAAAAGCACTGTAATCAAACCTAAATTGTGATGAATACTGTTGTAGAGTTAATATTGATGTATTATGAAACATCATGACTCCAGGTCCACTAGCCCAGGGGTAGCACCCAATGGGCTGGACCCTCCCACTTCAGACACTAAAGAAATGCCCTTACAGGCTTGTCTACAGATTTTATGGAGGCATTTCCTCAATTGAAGTTCCCTCTTCTCAGATGATGCTTGCTTATATCAAATTGACATAAAAATTAGCCAGGACAAATACTCTCTTCTACTTGCAATATCTTGTGTACTTTGACATTTTTATGTTTGTGAGAATATAAAGCCATTTAATTTTCAAAACATTCCTCCCTAGATTGGCCGCCTGCTTGGCTGTTCCAGAGTGGTGGGAATTTGTGGAACACATGAGAAATGCCTCTTTCTGACTTCAGAACTGGGGTTTGACGCTGCAGTGAATTATAAAACAGGAAATGTAGCGGAGCAGCTCCGAGAATCATGCCCAGCTGGAGTGGATGTTTACTTCGACAATGTTGGAGGGGACATCAGTGATACAGTGATAAGTCAGGTGGTTTGCCGATTTGTTTCTGTTACAAATGTGACACTATATTTTATTTATTGTGTGATATATCTTTGCTTGATACTGAGGGGAGCTATAAAATTGTAGTGTTCTTTTTGACAAATAACATGATTATTGTATTTAAGTTATACAAAAGATCTTGATACTTACTTTGAATTGATTGCACATTGGTGTTCTGAATTTCAGTTCCTGCCTAGCAATATATTTTCACCTTCAATTTACTTTTGTGAAAAATTAAGATTTGCCCTTTTGAAATAGTGAGATTCTGACCTGTAACTCACCATCTACCAATTACTTTGCAGCCATAACCTCTGAGTTGGGTAGGTAGATGGTTTTCATAGGTTGTAGATGGTACGTATTTTTATTGGCAATGTAGTAAAATACGACTGATAATAAGAATAAATAGGTCTTGACTATATGTAAAATTACTTGCAGTTGAGATTATATTATTGAAATAAAAAGAAATATATTACTGGGCTGGAGAGATGGTTCAGTGAATGAGAGTGTGTACTGCTCTTGCAGAGGACCTGAGTTTGATTCTATGTCAGGCAGCTCAAACCAGCTGTATATCAAGCTCCAGGGAGAAATGACCCTTCTGGCCTCATCAGGCACCCACACTTATACATGCATGTTTCTGCTGAGGGGTAGCCACCAGAGAAGACAACTTGGACGTGGGTTTAAGCCAGTAGAAAGTCTTTATTAGCTGTCCAGTGTTCAGATCCCAGTGTAGCCCTGAGCCTTTCTCAGGGTGAGCTTTTAAGCACAAAATCCACTTCAGTTAACAAGAACAGTTAGTCATAAGCGGAACTACAGAAGCCAAAAAGCAAAGTTAGTACATTTAGACACTTTCCCAGAACTGTGGACTTTGATGGATTAGGCCTTTGTTTTGGCAGGTGGTGCTGTCAAAGTGCTGAGTTTTACATCCTGAATGATACTTACATCATTGAGTCAGTTGTGGTAAGGTCTCAGGGCCTACTAAGGTCTGGGGACCTGTTACAGTATCTATATACAGACCCACAATATACACATAGTTAAAAATAATAAAATTAAGCTTTAAAAAAATAATATACTACAATAAAGCAGCAAGATCAGTGGCAACTAATATAATTCTTTTGGTGATTACCAAACTTTTATTCTACATTCCTTCATAGTGAACTTAATAAAACTTGTAGGTGCTGGAAAGATGGCTCAGCACTTAAGAGAGTACTTACTGCTCTTGTGGAGGACAGAGTTTGGATCCTAACACACACACACACATCAGCAGCTCAAAACCATCTGTAACTCCAGTTCTAGGGGGATCTGAGGCCCTCTTCTGGCTTCCACAGGCACCTGCATTTATGTAGTGAACATAAAATTCATGTAGGTGCACGCACTCGCGTGTACACACAGAGGCACACACAAATAAAAAATGTAAAAGACTTTTAAATACGTAAATCTTCAAAATAAATGAAACTAATCAGCAATAAAGGTTTAAGTGTGGTGGTTAAATAGGCTTTTATTGTTGTAGTCATAAATATAAGAAAGGTGTCTTAAGGGTGTAATCATCAGTGTTTCTCTATACAGATGAATCAGAACAGCCACATCATCCTATGTGGTCAAATTTCTCAGTACAATAAAGATGTGCCTTATCCTCCTCCACTGTCCCCTGCTGTAGAAGCAATCCAGAAGGAAAGAAACATCACAAGGTGTGTTCTTCACCTTTGCCCTTACTGCTACTATCACAGGGGCTGGGAGTTAAATTTCATAGATGTGAATTGTATTCATTTATAGTTTTTCCTTATTAAATAAAATGGAAAAGTATATATTCAAGGAGGTTCAATATTTAAATTTTGGTTACTGGTTCTCAGAAAACTGATACTTCTGGCTTTGACTGGATGAGATCATGTGAGGGTAGGGAAAGAATGTTATCCACAAAGGAAAAATCAAAATGCTGTTGCCAAATAGGGTTGTAGATGATAAGCAGATATAACAATCTAAGTAGAGTACTTACCCCTTAACTACACCTAAAACTATATCTGACCAGACTCAGTATGGTTATGTGCTAATTTAAAGACTAACAAGTATTACCATTTTGAAAGATTTGATTTGTTTTTTTTGTTTCGTTTTGATTTTTATTTTTTCTTTTTTGGTTTTTCGAGACAGGGTTTCTCTGTGTAGTTTTGGTGCCTGTCCTGGAACTCACTTGGTAGCCCAGGCTGGCCTCGAACTCACAGAGATCCGCCTGGCTCTTCCCCCCAAGTGCTGGGATTAAAGGCGTGTGCCACCACCGCCCGGCGATTTTTATTTTTTCAAGACAGGGTTTCTCTGTGTAGCCCTGGCTGTCCTGGAACTCACTCTGTAGACCAGATTGACCTTGAACTCACAGAGATGTAGTTGAAGTTTTCCTAGTCCTGCCTGGCCCACGGTCAGGACAAATCTCTCCCACTCGCATCCCCCAAGTAAACACACAGAGACTTAAGACTTGTATTACTTATAAACTGTATGGCTGTGGCAGGCTGCTTGCTATCTGTTCTTATATCTTAAATTAACCCATTTTTATAAATCTATACCTTGCCATGTGGCTCATGGCTACCAGTATCTTACATCATGCTTCTCCCCGTGGTGGCTGGCTGCATCTTCCTGCCTCAGCCTTCCACCTCCCTGAATTCTCCTCCTTCTTGTCCTGCCTACACTATACTTCCTGTCTGGCTACTGGCTAATCAGCGTTTTATTTATCAATCAATCATAGCAACATATATTTACAGCATACAGGACATCCTACAGCACTTCCCCTTTTCTGTTTTTTTTCAAAAGGAAGATTTTAACTTTAACATAGTAAAATTACATATAACAAAACAATTATCAAGCAAGAATTACAGTTACAATATCTAGTCTTATTTATATTTGGCAGGATTAAAGAAGATATCCTATCTATCCTATATTTGTGAGTCTAAGGTTTCATATCTAACTTACCTTTTATCATAACTAAGGGAATTATAACTATATAGTCTTCAACTACATCAAAGACCTCAGAAGGATATACCATTACCTGAGAAATGGGAGAAGGATCTGCCTGCCCCTGCTTCCCAAGTGCCGTGATTAAAGGCATGTGCCACCACCCCCTCAGGTTCTCCCTCTTGAAATATTGTCTAATCATCCTTTCATTCTCTGCTTACAGAGAGAGATTTACCGTGTTAAATTACAGAGATAAATTTCAGCCGGGACTTCTGCAGCTGAGTCAGTGGTTTAAAGAGGGCAAGCTAAAGGTAAAGCCTTTTTTGCTTTTTGAAAGCAGGTCTCATGTGGTTCAGGCTGGTTTCAGGCTGGTTGCACTTGGCAAGTAGCTGAAAATGATCTTGAACCCCTTGCCTCCTACTTCTGCCTCACTAGTGCTAGGATTATAGGCAGGCTCTTTATCATGCCCAATTTATGTGGCGCTGGGCTTGAACCCAAAACAAACCAAGTACTCTATCAACAGAGCCACATCCCCAGTCCAAATTTCTATTAATTATAAAAGTATGTTTTTTTCTGGCCGGGCGGTGATGGCACACGCCTTTAATCCCAGCACTCGGGAGGCAGAGGCAGGCGGATCTCTGTGAGTTCGAGGCCAGCCTGGGCTACAAAGCGAGATCCAGGAAAGGCACAAAGCTACAGAGAAACCCTGTCTTGAAAAAACAAAAACAAACAAACAAAAAAAGTATGTTTTTTTTCTGCCATTAGGCATACTTTTATTTTATTTGATTTTACTATAGCAAACATTTGTTTCATTACAAAAAATTCCTACAAAATATAGGCTAGAGAATTGGCTCAGTGGTTAAGAGCACATTGCTCTTGCAGAGGACCCAGGTTTGTTCTCCAGCGTGTATGTCAGGCTGCTCACCATTGATGGTAACTGCAGCTCCAGGGGCTCTGTGACCCTCTCTGGACCGCCTAAGCAGCTGCACTCACGTGCACATACTCCCACAGAGACACACATTGACACATAGTTTAAAAAGTTAATCTTTGAATAAAATTTTCTCCCAGATGACCATAATCTGCTGAGTGAGAAACTCTTTTATTACTTTTATGCAATACTTTATTAAGCTCAGGACTGTAGAGGCTGCTCAGTGGTTAAGAGCACTTACTACTTTTGCAGAGGACCTGGATTTGGTTCCTAGCACCTACCTGGCTGCTACAAGTTGTCCATAACTCCAGTTCCAGGGGATCCAGTAACCTCTTCTGGCCTCCCAGGGTACTAGGCACACAGTGGTGCATACTTGTACATACATGTACATACATACATGCATGCAGGCAAAACACACATAAAATAAAAATAAATCTTTTAAACAATTAATAAGCTTTACTTTCCATGAATTATTCATAAAGTCAATAGATATTTCTCCTGAAATCTAAATCTTTTTTTTTTTTTTTTTGGTTTTTCGAGACAGGGTTTCTCTGTGTAGCTTTGCGCCTTTCCTGGAACTCACTTGGTAGCCCAGGCTGGCCTCGAACTCACAGAGATCCGCCTGGCTCTGCCTCCCGAGTGCTGGGATTAAAGGCGTGCGCCACCACCGCCCGGCTTGAAATCTAAATTTTTTTTTTTTTTTTTTTTTTTTTTTTTTTTTTTGGTTTTTTGAGACAGGGTTTCTCTGTGTAGCTTTGCGCCTCTCCTGGAACTCACTAGGTAGCGCAGGCTGGCCTCGAACTCACAGAGATCCGCCTGGCTCTGCCTCCCGAGTGCTGGGATTAAAGGTGTGCGCCACCACCGCCCGGCGAAATCTAAATTTTTAATGTTCATTAATTTGACAAATATTTGTGGAATTGTACTTAGAAATCTGATTTCTTTTTTCATTTTACATTATTTTTATATGCATGGATATTTTGTTTACAGGAATGTTTATTTACCACTTGCTTGCCCTGGTTCGTACAGAGGCCAGAAGAGGGTGTCAGATATCCTGGAACTGGAGTTACAAATGGTTGTGAGCTGCCGTCTGGGTGCTGGGAATTGAACCTGGGTCCTCTGAAAGAATAGCCAGTGCTCTTAACCACTGATCCATCTCCCTGGCCTGAGAAATTGTGCTTTCTTTTTTTCCCCAATAACTTATTTTTTTTATTTCATGTGCATTTGTATTTTATCTGAATGTATGTCTGTGTAAAGGTGTCAGATCACCTGAAACTGGAGTTACAGGCAGTTGTGAGCTGGGAATTGAACCTGGGTCCTCTAGAAGAGCAGACAGTGCTCTTAACTGATGAGCCATCTCTCCAGTCCCAAAATTGTTCTTTCTTAAAAGTCATATAAGCACATGCCAGAATGTTCTTTGGATATTCTTTTTTTTTTTTTTTAAATGGGAATTTGTTGAATTTTATATAACTAGAATGAGTCGTTACTGCATTTTAGAAAGCACAAAACAATTGTAAACTCAGTAGTTCAGTAATATATTTATATTATTTTGGTTTCATATAACCTATTTTCTTATGATTTTTATAGATTTCAGTAAATGCCCTTTTAATACTCATTTCCTTTGTGGTTATTCTGATTGGGCAAAATTAGAAGTTTTTGGTCCCCCCCCCCCCCCAAGACAGAATTTCTCTATGTATGTAGCCTTAGCTGTCCTGGAACTCGCTCTGTAGACCAGACTGGCCTCAAACTCAGAGATCCGCCTGCCCCTGCTGCCCGAGTACTGGGATTAAGAGCATGTGCCACCACTGTCTGAAATTAGAAGTTATTAATCTGGGATCCATATAAGATGTTCTTGAAACCTAAAAAAGATAGGCAAACTTGTATATGTGTACACTTAGATAATTTTTTTCCAAAGAGTGGATATGGACTGAGTGTGTAACTTGGTAGAGTACTGGCTTAGCCTCCATGAAGCCTAGTCTACCCCAGCAGAATAAAAAAAACTGGCACAGGCCTATCATCACAGTACTTGGGAGGTGGGGGCAGGAGAGGATCATAAATTCAAGGTCATTGTCAGCTATGTAGCCTGTACAGTTTGTTTAAGACTAGATGGGGTTGGGGTAGCAGTGAGATGGCTTACTGAGTGTGGACACTAGTGGATGAACTGAGTTTGATCCCCAGAACCCATGTGGTAGAAAAGTAGAAAGAACTGAGCTGGGCATGGAAGTTTATGCCTTCAAACCCAGCAGTAGGGAGGAAGAGGCAGTCTGAGCTCTGCATTTGAGGTCTACAGAATGAGTACCAGGTGTCCTCTGATTTCTACATGCATGTTATGACATGTACATTTACCCATAAAAACAAATAAAATGTAAAAAAAGAATTTGTTTTTGTTTTTGTTTTTCGAGACAGGGTTTCTCTGTGTAGCTTTGCGCCTTTCCTGGAACTCACTTGGTAGCCCAGGCTGGCCTCGAACTCACAGAGATCCACCTAGCTCTGCCTCCCGAGTGCTGGGATTAAAGGCATGCGCCACCACTGCCCGGCTAAAAAAAGAATTTTTAACAATCAGACAACAGGAATATAGGATTAGGATTTTATTGAAAAATGGAGGCTACCCATTTTTCTACTGTATACAAAGTTGTAAATCGTATTGCTTCCTTTTGTAGAAACCATTAACCCTAAATCTAGCTATTTTGATTCACAGATCAAAGAGAGCGTGATAAATGGATTGGAAAACATGGGAGGTAAGATGAATAAAGATTTATTCTATGCATGTGCTAAATGCATGTATTGATTTTTCTTTTAATGCTACTTTTCAGGTGTTCTAGAGAATGAACCTATGGCCTCTTTCATGTTAAGCACACATTACCACTGTGCTAAACCCAAGCCACCCCCCCCCCCCTTCTCCTTTGTGGAGACACTGAGGACCTCTGTTAACTGACACTGAAAGACTGTGCTTTTGTTCATGCAGTGATGGAGAACTGACCCTGGAGCCTTGTGCATGCTAGGCACGGCCTCTAAGACGGAACTATAGCTTCTTTCCCTTGTTTTGTTTTGTTTTTTCTCTTTTTTTGGAGGGAAGGGGGTAGAGCAGAGCTTTTCTGAGACTGGGTCTTATGTAGCCCTGGTGGGCTTTGAATTTGATTGGTAGCTGAGGCTGACCTTAAATTCCTGCCCTCCCAAGTGCTGGAATTACAGGCATTTGCCACCACACCCATCTTATTTTCTTGTAATAATTTATTGCTGGGGCTTTGGATGTAGGCTGGTTGGTAGAGTGCTTGTCTGCCATGAATGAAGCCGTGTACAAAACATGTATATTAGCAACCACTGTAACCCAGAACTCAGACAGTAGAGGCAGTACTATCAATTTAAGGTCGTTCTCAGCTAAGGAGACGGTCTCAAAAATAAATAAAAATAAAAATAAAAATAAATAAAATAAGCCCGGCGGTGATGGTGCATGCCTTTAATCTCAGCGCTCCAGAGGTAGAGGCAGGTGGATCTCTGAGTTTGAGGCTAGCCTGGTCTATGAATTGAGTTGCAGAACAGCCAAGGCTACACACAGAGAAACCTTGTCTCAAAAAAAAAAAAAAAACAATAAATGAACAAACAAATAAATAAACAAACAAATAAATATTATTTCTGTGAAACTGTCCCTATATATGTAGGTTTCCTTATATATTGAAATCAAACACCATAAGAGTTCACTTTAGTGATCTTTTTTTTTTTTTTTTTTTTTTGGTTTTTCGAGACAGGGTTTCTCTGTGTAGCTTTGCGCCTTTCCTGGAACTCACTTGGTTAGTGATCTTTAATATGTGTATTAGTTACTTTTTCATCACTGTGATAAAATACCTGAAACCAAATTTTAGGGAGGAATTATTTTGCTCATGATTTTAGAGCTCAGGTCATGGTCACTTGGCCCCATGCACTTGGGTAGGGCAGATCATCCTGGTACTGGAGTACATGAAGGTAGTTTTCACATCATGGTGGACAGGAAACAGAGAAGAAGACAGGAAGAGGAAGGGCCCAACTCTACTGACCTACTTTCTCTAGCTAAGTTCCACTTCATAAAGTTTCCAGAACCTCCTAAAATAGTACCACTAGCTGAGGACCAAGCACTTAAAACTGAGGGAGTTTGTTCGAGACATTTCATATTCAAAGTATATCAAGAGGCAGTTTGCACATTTCATATATTATATATATATATATCTTTGGTTTCTTAGACAGTTTATAAAAATATAAGGACTATGAAAGCTTTATAGGCTTTAGGTAACTTTTCAGATCAAATGTTTCTTGTAGACAGACTTTCTTTTCTGCCTCCAGTCCCAAATAAAGACACAGAGACTTATTATGAAATATTTTGCCTTTAGCTGAGGTTTGTCTCAACTAGCTCTTAAACTTAAATTAACCCATCTATATTAATCTGTGTTCTGTCACGTGGTGTTACCTCTTTTGTCTTGCACGTCTTGTTCCCTCTCCACTTGCCTGGCAACTCCACCCTTCTTCTTCCCAGAGTCTTCTCTGCCTCCAGAAGTCCCGCCTAACCTCTTCCTGCCTAGCTCTTGGCCATTCAGCTCTTTATGAAACTAATCAGAAGGTGCCTTGGCAAAGACACATCTTTACAGTGTCACAAACAAATATTTGGCAACAGTTTCTCAGACATAAGATTAATCAAATTTCTAAATTCTATTTTTGTTTTTGTTTTTGGCCTAACATAGACTTTCATTTATAAAAAGGCTAAATCAAACTCATTTTTTTCCTTTTTCAAAAAAAAATTTAATATATTTCCAAACCAGTATTTTGTATCAATGTAAATTTTACTCATTTGGCTTAACAAGTATTTACTGTATTTACTCAATAAAACTAAAGTTTCTAAAGTTTTGAATTATTTAAAATTGTTTTGCTGACATTTTAGCCCCATATTTATTTGCCTTTACTCTTCAGATTCTGTACCTTTCTATGGATACTAGTTAGATATTTCCAGTTTATTTATTTATTTTTTTAAAGATTTATTTATTATACACACAGTGTTCTTCTGCAGGTATGCTGCAGGCCAGAAGAGAGCACCAGATCTCATTACAGATGTTTGTGAGCGACCATGTGGTTGCTGGGAATTGAACTCAGGACCTCTGGGATAACAGCCCATGCTCTTAACCGCTGAGCCATCTCTCCAGCCCCTATTTCCAGTTTAAATAGCAGTAGGGTTTTTGTTGGTTTTCAGCCTTTTTGAGGCCAGGTGTCATGCAGTCAAGGCTAGGTTGATCCTGAACTCTGATCTTCTTGCCCCAGGATCCACAGGTAAAAACCACAGTCCTGGTTTATGAAGTGCTGGGGGTTTAGCCCAGAACCTCTTGTATGCAATTTACCAGATGAGCTATACCCAGCCCAACAATAGTCTTCAGAATGTAATTGGATTGCTTTGTATTCTACTTGTATCTGTTGTTTGCATTTGTTTGAAACTTGATCTCCTCTTTTTTCCCTCTCTTTCTTCTCTCACATTCCAAAACACATTAACTCTTGAGGCCAGGTTGGGGCAGGTCCCCAACTTACAAGCTTAGTGTGCAGATGGAATGTTTCCCCAAGTTTCTAAGATACAGTGTATCTGAGGGAGGCAAGTGTGTGCTCTCTCCTACCCTACTCTTTTTGGGTGTTTTTGAGTCTGTATATTCCAGATGGCCTTAAACTCATGATCCTCTGGCCTTAGCTCCAGAATGCTGGGATTACATGCATACACTATGAGAGTTTCCTTCTGTTTCCCTATTGACACCACATACATGTTGTACACTTACATACATGCAGGCAAAACACTCGTACAAATAAACTAAATCTTTTGTGTGTGTGTCTTGCCTGCATACATGTATGTACACTACATGCATGCTTAGTGTTCACAGAGTTCAGAGGAGTGTTGGATCCCCTACAGCTGGTACTAGGAACAGGACTGATTGTGAGTCACCACATGGGTGCTTGGTAGATAAGTATGTATGTATAAGTAAATAATAAATAAATAAATGTATGTATGAATGAATAAATAATAAATACATAAATAAATAAATGTATGTATAAATAAATAAGAAAGGAAGGAAGTGTCCCCCCTCCCCACACACACAGGGTTTCTCTATATAGCCTTGGCTCTTCTGGAACTCACTCTGTAGACTAGGCTACCCTGAACTCACAGAGACTCACAGAGATCCAGCTTCCTCCTGAGTGCTGGGATTAAAGGTGTGTGCTACCACCTGACCCAGTGATTTTTCTTTTTAGATTTATTTTTTGCCAGGGTGGTGGTGGCACACGCCTTTAATCTCAGCACTTGGGGGGCAGAGGCAGGTGGATCTCTGTGAGTTTGAGGCTAGTCTGGCCTACAGAGTGAGTTTCAGGACATCCAGGGCTGCACAGAGAAACTGTCTCAAAAAAAAAAAGGAAGAAAAATCACTTAAGAAATTATTCAAGCTAATTTTGTATGTGAGACTGCCTAACAAATATATAGTGACATTTCTCTTTTCAGACAACCTACTTTTTTTTTTTCCAGTTGCATTCCAATCCATGATGACCGGAGGCAACATAGGGAAGCAGATCGTCTGCATTTCAGAAGATTCTTCTCTGTAGTCTTTGTGTACCTTGGTCAAGGAAACCCTACATTTCCTACTTTGCACAGAGATACTTAAGATACATTTAAGAAAGAATCTTACAGTAGATAATTCTTGATTTAAGTGTGATAATATTTTCTTAATTGCATAACCTTTTTATCTTCAATATCATATATTAATTATATATCTAACATGTGTTTGCTAACCATAATACAATGGTTCTCAACCTGTGGGTTGTGACCCCCCCTGGGGTCACATATCAGATACCCTGCATATCAGATATTTACATTACGATTCATAACAGTAGCAAAATTAGAGTTATGAAGTAGCAGTGGAATAATTTTATGGTTGGGGTCACAACATGAGGAACTGTATTAAAGGGTGCAGCATTAGGAGGGTTGAGAACCATTGCTACAATAGATTGAAGTTAGTTTCATCTGTTTTTCCCTTTTTTATTTTACTTTTGAAACAGGATCTCAATATGAAGTCCACACTGGCCTTAAACTTGTGATTCTTCTGGCCCTGTCTCTTGAGTGCTGGGATCACAGGCATGCCTGATTTTTCTTATAATAATAAACTAGTAATAGTAATTATTTCGGAGATGGGCCTGTTAGTATAGCTCAGGCTGGACTGACTCCTCAGGTTCCTCACTGCCATTATCGCTGGGATTCCAGGCATGTGTTACTCATTATACTTGGCTAATTTTGTTTGTTAAAACTAATGTTACATATATTTGTATCAAATATTTTATGACCCCTGGATAGTTAATACGATTATTAATGGATCATCTGTATACATCTTTAAATTATTTTTAAAACTGAGTCAACATTCTAGTAATTCTAAGATCAGAAGCAGTTAACATTTGTTGACCTGGGGAAATTTTTAACATTATTCTTAAAGTGAGAATATTAGAATTGAGATGAGCTTTCTATATTTTATATGGAAGAGAGACTTTAAAAATCTTTATGTACCAATGTGTCTTTCTGTGCACCACATGCATGCCTGGTGCCTGCAGAGGCCAGAAGAGGGCATTGGATCCCTTGGAACTGGAGAATTTTGAGCCACCATGTGGGTGCTGTGTTCTTGAACGCAGGTCCTTTGGTAGAGCAGCAGGTGCTCTTAACTGCAGAGCCATCTCTCCAGCCTGCCAAAAGAGAGGCTTGGAATAGTATAAGTACATAGGGTTGGGGGCAGCATTGGGAGGATCAGATTGTGGAACGGTTATGGGGAAGAAGAGCAGAAGTGTTGGGTTGGGAGCAGTGTGAGAAGATGATGAAGTCAGTGGAGTTGATGGGAAGCTCAAGAGACCAGATCTGCACCCAGAAGATGATCTATTTGTGTTCTGCCAAATTACTGTGTAGCAAGTCTAAAAAAGCTTGTGTTTACTGGAGGAATTTTTTTTTGTGACAGTCTGTTATGTAGCTTGCTATGTAACCCAGGCTGGCCTGGAACTTGAAGATCTCCACCTGCCTGCCTACCTCCAGAGGCTAGTGTTAAAGGCCTGTACTTTGGGACACTTGGGAGAGCAAATAGATATAAACATCACTTGGAATTTCATTGATTAAAGTGGGTTGGGTGAGTGAGTGATCAGGGCAGAACACTGCTCCGTATTCTAGGGACCTTCTCCGTATTCTAGGGACCTTGGGGTTAATCCCCAATAGGAACCCCCATTCCCAAGAAGCCCCAAGTAAAAAAAGCTTCAGGAAATGATAGGACTAAGTAAATTAACCAAGGGTTGTAGACAAGAGTATTCCAGATATTGAGGTATCTCATTTGTCTTATTAATTGTAACTCAACTTTTGGAAAAGTAAAACTGAAGATGTTTTCTGAGTGTGATTTATGGCCACTTTTTTACACAGCCAATGTACTTTATAGGTGACACTTGCAATAAACATATTCAAATTGTATTAGTAATCATTCAATCCAGTTTTGCATCGGTCTAACCTTGTTCTACATACTTGCCCTGGACCAGTTTTTCTTTCTGGGGGTTTCTTCGTATCTTCATATGCTGGTAACTCCCAACTCTAAATTTGTTTTTTAATTCTTACTTAGACTTGAGGACTTTTAACTCCTAGTAAACATCTCCTTGCCACCCCGAGGTTTTCTTCGGATACTATGTAGCCCGGTTGTCCTTGTCATGCAGTCCTCAGACAGGATTACAGCCTTGCTCCTCCGTGCCCAGCACGCAACTGTGTACCGATGAATTCATTTCACCCGGAACGCCCAAAATGTTTTCTACCCAAACTAGTACTCCCTAGCTCGTTTAGGCTCCTGGTTTACCTCTAAACATGAAAATAAACGCCTTAAGAGAACATTAATTCACACGGGCACTATCTTTAATCCCTTACTCTATGTGTACCACATCATGAGGGTTTGTTGTTGTGGTTGCTTTGTTTTTGACAGTCTCACTACGCAGCCCTAGCTGTCCTAGCTGTGCCAGGGTGCTGGGATTACAGGACTGTGCCACCACGCCAGGACTTTACATTTCACGCAGTCAGTCAAACTCAAAAGTTCCATCGAGTACTATTATTCACCTCGGAACTCAGGTATAGCTCTCAGTCAGGACATCCCAGATCTCTGGGAATTCTTCAATGTCCCCAAGGCTGTCCGTGTCTAAATTCATACCCAGTCCAGTGGGCAGTGCGGGGCTGGATTGTGCAGGTCCCTCCTTGGGCCGTGAAGATTTCAGGTCCTCTTCATGGAGAGTTTTGGTGTTTCGGGAGCATTGTTTCTCGTTCACTGTATCAGAACTCGGCTCCGGAGAAAGCTGCCCACCGGTTCATTGCCGCGGCCGCACACACCCTCCTCGGCGGGAAGGTGGTGACGTCACGGCTAGACGGCCCTGACCTGGTTTCAGACTTGGCGGACCCGAGCGCCCCGGAGGGCAGGGGGGCGGGGCCGGGGTGCTGCCGCTCGCCGGCCGGAGACCAGCGCGGGTGTGAGCGGAGGTGGAGATCGGCCCACGCAGCTGCCGCAGGGTCAGCACCTCGACCTGAGGAACACCCGCGGGGCGGAGAAGAAAGCCAGGGGGTATGCTCGTGGGGGGGTGGCCAAACTTCCTGTCCCGCTCTGGAGCTGCTTCCGGCGGGAGCCGGAAGACGCCGTGTGTGTGGACGGAATTCGGGACTGGCTGACGGACGGCCAGCTGCCCTGGACTGGAAGGTGAGCTCCGGGCGGGGGCTGGCCACACCCGCTCGGCTAGGTGGTCCCGGAGAGAAAGGAACCCACGGCGGGGTTTGGGGCTCCGGAGGCGAGTTTGCCCCCGAAGGGCACAAGGAAGCCGCCCCCACTTGGGCTTCCCCCCCGGCGTCTGGCGGGCTGGGAGCGACCGGTCCGGAGCCCCGCGGCTCCGGCCCTGCCCCTCTCGGGATTTGGGGGGGCACTGTTTTGGTTCCTAGGCTTGTTTTTGCAGGAAGGTGCTTGGGAGCAGATTGCCCCCAGTGAAGCGGACTTAGCGCGTCCCCGGGGCGGAGGCTCCGGACTGCACCCGCAGCCGGGCCTGCCCGCGGACCTTCGGGCCTGCCACTGAGACCTTTGTGCTGGCGGCAAGGGTTGCCAGCGGTGCCCTGCCGGCCTTCCAGCCAGAGCCAGCGTCCACTCACTTCCTTGGTCTGGAAGGGGACGCCTAGATGACCAGGGCTGGACCTCTGGTGTCTCCTCTACCTGCCACTTGAGGCCCGTGTGGGGACAGCGAGTGTTCGTAGTCTGCGTGGGTTTTGCCCATTGAACTCGTCCTCCGAAGTTTCTCAGAAGAGGATCCAATCCGTTGATTAAACTTTATCCCACTTGCGCATGAGGCTCGGAAATGTACTTAGGTACCATTTGGGAGTTAAATATTATTGAGATGGGATTCAGAGTTCATACTTTTACATCAGACGTTGGCACAGGGGCCAGTGTGACATATGCGAAGAGAAGGAAAAGACGGACAATTCTTGGTGTTTGGCATTGAGAAATTACACTTTGTGTTACCGTAGTGTATTATCAGAAGATGTAGGCTCTAATTTAAGCTTTGACCTTGTAGGTGTCAAATTTGGGGTAAATTTTGCAATTTGTAGTTTCTTTGAGGGGGGTATATCAGTGAAGAGGTTTACCATCATGTAATGTATTTGAACATTATTCTGAGATACTAAACTTTGAGTTTGAAGGTGACAAACATTCTTGTGTTTTGGAAAAATAATGAGTGTTTGGTAAAAGATAGATTGGAAAGGGTAATTTTTTTATTTTTGGATTTTTGAGACAGGGTTTCTCTGTGTAGCCCTGACTCTCCTGGAACTCGCTCTGTAGACCAGGCTGGCCTCAAAGGCACAGAGATCCACCTGCCTCTGTCTCCTGAGTGAGGAAAGGGTGACTTTTAAAGGCAAGGTGACCAGTTAGAAGCTTTTGTTAATAGTGTAGTTGGGGGGGGGGGGAGTATAATTGAAAGATACTGAGAAATCTAAACAGCATCACAGTAGGAGTAAGTGACTTGTGGAAGTCATTAATGCCTGGGATTATTTAAATACGGAGAAAGAGAGATACTGCTAGAGAGAATTTGCAGCTGAGTGGGAAAGAAGATTGGGCAATAAATAAAAGGGGTAATTCAAGAAGAACAGGTTTGGCAGGGGAGATGATAATCTGGCTTTGGATGTGGTTTGGTTTGAAATGCTGAGGGATATATATGTGGAATTACTCAGCAAGTAAGTCATAGTGAAGGTTTGGAATTCAAAAGAAAAGAGTAAAGGGGCAGGGAATTGGGTATCATTTGTCATGTTGGGTATCCTCTGTCTGAATGTTTATCCATTGCTTTTTATGTGCTCACAGGGAAATGTGTATGAAGTCCTTCAAACTCCTAGTAATGACTACTTTAAAAGTGGGTAGTGACTTCAGGATTTCTTTTGGGAAAATGTAAAATTAGCCAAGCTTGGTGATACACACCTTCAGTCTCAGTACTGGAAGATGTAAGCAGGAGGGACCAGAAGTTCAAGGCCAGCCTCAGAAACAGAGAGAGTTCCAGGACAGCCTGGGCTGTGCAAGAGCCTGTCTGGGCCCTCCCCACCCCCAAAAAACAAGCACAGACAAAACTGGTTGTGTATGTAATTGCACAACTGTGAATACACTAAAGACAGTTTAATTGTACTTTTCCGAATGTGTGAGAATGGGATCTGGAAAGATGGCCAGCAGTTAAGAGCGCTGTTGCTCTCGTAGAGGCCCCCAACTCCTGGAGATCTGCTTATCTCTGCTTCCAGAGTGCTGGGGTTAAAGTGTGTGCCACCATGTCTGGCCCAAAGTTAATTTTTTGGAAAGATTTTCATTGCAAGAAAAAAATTTACATTGCAGCTTTTGAAAGCAGTTATCCGGGTAATGGAATTGGAACTAGCAGCGAACCTAGCTTATGTGCTTGCCATGGTACTGCTGTCTTGTTAGTGTCCTTAGCAAGTTCTGTGACAGATGACGTCCACATAGAACACTTGATAAACCACTGTGCTCTATCTAGCACAGATTGTTTTCTCATCGTTCTGAGATAGGATCTTGCTATAAGCCGAAAACTCCCTAGTCTGATGCTTCAGTCTCCCCATGGCTGAGATTACAGGTGCCTGCCACCACACCTGGTTCTTGAACAGGTTCCTGAGAGTTCAACCTCTTCTAGTGCATTCTGCTTTATTTGTTCATGAAGTACCCATACAAGTCACAAATTTTGGCACCAGCGTTGTATGGCTGAATTCAGTTACAATGTACATATTACAGTTGTTCCAGAATAGTTTTACTTGTTTTCAAAGATTATTAAAATGAAAACACTAAAATAAAGAGATGTAGTAGGTGACACCTGAGGGTCTGTGAATTGTCTTATTTCTTAGTGACTCTACAATTCAAGAATCTCAAAGTTGGATGCACTTTAATAATAACCAGAACAAACATCTGGTAATTTCTTGGCTTGTTATGTGAGCTGGAATTGAGGAAGAGGAATTGCTAAGCCCTCGAAATTTAAGATCAAATTTAGATGTAATCATTCCCTGTTTGTGCCAACTATTCATGCCAGCTTGCTTATGCAGCTTAATAACTTCACCAAGTGATTTATTGAACCTTATTGAACCTTGGTTTCTTCCTCTCATGAGGGTGAGTGGATAAACCATATTAAACTATTGTAGTGCTTGAGGAAGAAAATGTATGTAGAAAGAAAAGTTGGGCATTTATGATCCTTTTTTATGTAATATGTAAAAGAAACATTTCATATATATCTTGTAGACTGGATTGCAGGCTGCCATTTGCATCAACAAACAAAACTTTAATTTCAGTATTTCTTCTAAAAATTAGATGTATTAATTGTGTGTGCACATATGTGGGGGTCAGAGGACAACTTGGGAGATTGGTTCTCTGTCTATCACATAGGTCCTGGGGATTGAATTGAGGTTGTCAGGCATGGTAGCCACCTTCACACTGACCCATCTTCCAGGCTCTAATTCCAAGTATTTCTTTTCTTCTTTTTGTTTTTCAACACAGAAGGTTTCTCTGTGTAGTTCTGAACTCACTCTGTAGACCAGGCAGAGATGTGTCTGCCTCTGCCTCCTGAATACAGGAATTAAAGGCATGCACCACCACCGCTTGGCTTCCAGTATTTCTTTTTCTTTTCTTTTCTTTTTTTTGGGGGGAGGTATTTGAGACAGGGTTTTTCTGTGTCGTTTTGGTGCCTGTCCTGGCTCCCACTCTGTAGACCAGGCTGGTCTCGAACTCACAGAGATCCTCATGGCTCTGCCTCTCAAGTGCTGGGATTAAAGGCATGTGCCACCGCCGCCGCCTGGCTCCAGTATTTTTTAATGTCTGTCCTAGTCCAACTTTCCAGTCTACCATGGTATTAATGGAAAACTTCCACCCTAGGTACATTGTTTACTGTCTTTATGGATAGCAGTACTCCTAATTTTATCAGCAATTAAACCAAAAAAGTGAATTCATGTGCCAAAGTATTGGAATGGAGGGGACTTAAGCATGAGTGTTTGGCTCGGAGACTAGCAAGGTCTGTTCTTAGCATGGGTAGACCTTAGGTTCAGTCTGCAGTGGTGGCCAAGGAAGGAGAGAAGATGAGAGGGAGGGAGAGTGAAAATGAATCGATTGCTTCTGTGTCCTAAGAGCACTGCCTTGGGGAAGTACTTAACAGCCCACCCCACCCCTGTTGTGAGTTAACACCTCTAGACCTGAGAAGGTACCACTGTCCGTGTCCACCCCAACCCCCAACCCCCAACCCCCAATCCCCAACACCCCCCCCTCCCCCCCCCCCACCCCCCCCCACCCCCCGTCATGAGTTGCTGTAGCGCCCAGGCTTCCTGAGTGATGAGGTTCCACACGTACATCACCATGCCCTGCTAGGCTTATGTTTTTCGTATTATCAGAACAGCATAATTACCTTTTAGAACCAAGAAAAGAAAAGTGAAGTTAAACTGGTTACATCAGTGTGAATTTCTTTTTACTTTTTCTTATGCATGTTGTAATTAGTGTTAAAATGGAAAATAGATTTGCAATCAATTGTCTTTGTTGTGTGGGCTTCGTAATCTGTGTGTGTGTGGTGGTGGTGGTGGTGGTGGTGTGTGTGTGGTGTTGTGAATCAAACCCAGGTCTTTGCACATGCTAGGCAAATGCTCTACCACCGAACTACATCTCCAGCCAGAGCAGTATTTTGAAGTGACAATGCCATATTTAATGAGCTATGCTTATAGTGTGTGTGTGTGTGTGTGTGTGTGTGTGTGTGTGTGTGTGTGTGTGTGTGTTCGGGTTTTCTAAAAGGTAATTGTGTATTGCTTCTACTTTTTTGTCTTTTATATTTTTGACGAACATCTTTGGGAATATAGCTTTTCTGTATTTAAGACTTTTTTATATCCAGGTGTGGTGATATCTGTAATCCCAGCACTCAGGAGGAAGAGGTAGAAGAATTCGTTGACGGTTGGAGGCCAACTTCATCTGTGTGAATTTCAGGCCAATCAGGGCTGTATAGCGAGATTCTGTCTTTAAAAAAAAAAAAAAAAAAAAAAAAAGACCTTCATTAGAAGGAGCAGCTTTGAAGGGACTGAAGAAAACGGCTCAGTGGTTAAGAACCTTTGCTGTTCTCGCAGAGAACCAGAGTTTGGTTCCCAGCATCCATGTGGGGCTGCTTGCAAGCACCTGGAACTCCATGGAGCTCCAGGAGAATCTGATCCCTCTATTGAACTCTGGACACTTGGGGACACAGCGAGATACACGTGCATGAAATAAAAATGAAAATTTTAAAAGCAGTAGGGCCGGGCAGTGGTGGCCCTGCCTTTGATGCCAGCACTCGGGAGGCAGAGGCAGGCAGATCTCTGTGAGTTCGAGGCCAGCCTCGTCTACTGAGTGAGTTCCAGGACAAGCTCCAAAACTACACAGAGAAACTCTGTCTCAAAAAACTAAAAAAAAAAAAAAAAAAAAAAAAAAAAAAAAAAAAAAAAAAAAGAAGAAATAGTTTATCAAAGCATAACACTTTTACAGTTTTTGATGCTTACTGGGCTTGTTCATTTTAAAACAAATGTTATGGGCTGAATTCTTAGTCTGATTATGATTTTTAGATATAAAGGTGTGTCTTTATTTAGCTACATTTTCCTACTGCTCTTAATGCTGTGTCTTTCTCTTTTTTTTTTTTTACCCTATTTTAGGTTAAATTGATTACCAACCTAGTTCAGCACCTTACAGGAAAAGCATAATGTTTCTTAAAGGGATATGAGTATAACAGGAAGGTGTCATTGACTCTGAATTAGATTTGAACCTGTCCCCTGAACAGCTGCAGGATTTCAGAAGCTGAATCAATGTTATCAGATGAGTTAGAATCCAAACCAGAGGTGAGCGCACTTAGCTGTTTTCAGAGTTCATCTAAGTCTGTTGGTCAGGAGACAACGCTAGTGACTTCGTAGTAAACATTTTTGACTTTGTGAACCAGATGATTTTTACTGCAATTCATAGTTTACAACTTTTCTGTTACTAAATGTTTTCTCAAGATTACACTGTTCTGTTTCTACCTGTTGAGGATTTTTCCCATTTGCTATTTGAGTATTTAATGAAATACTAAGGTGCTTATATGGTAAAATATTTTATATCCCTAAAATGAATTTATATGATATAGTTGTGGTATATATGTATATATTTATTTACACAAATTGTTAATCTTATATATAATTGAAAATATTTTCTTTCTGAAAATTACTGGGAGATTTAAGCATTTTATAATTTCATTCATTTTCCCACCTTAGTTTTAGTAAATCTGTGTTCCATAATAGGAGAGTCACCAAATTTGAAATCATTACTTAATTTTGAAGACTGGAACTTTTAATTAGTTATGTCATCTCAGGCAAGTCAGTGTTTTCAGATTTATTTCTCATTTGTAAAATACATGTTCACCTAGGAATTTACTATAAGGATTAATGAACCACTACTACCCAGAAAAATGCTTTGTAAAATGTAATCAGTACAGTGCAGTTGATTTTTTTTTTTTAAAAAAAACCTCATCATTTTAAAATACACTTGGTAGAAAATGACAGATTAACTTAATTATATAAATCAACCATTCCGTAGAACCAACACCTTGATGAATGTAGTCGGTCTGGTTTTTCTGTGTCTGTGGCTGAGACCAGGAACAAGACTGAATTATGCCATCGCTTGTTTGGTGACTTTAAAAGTTGAGATTCATCCTTAGCAACCTCTGTTTCTCAGTGTTGCTTCTTTCCCTCCTCAGCTCCTGGTGCAGTTTGTTCAGAATACCTCCATCCCCCTGGGACAAGGGCTAGTAGAATCAGAAGCTAAAGACATTACTTGCTTATCCCTCCTTCCAGTGACCGAGGCCTCAGAATGCAGTCGGCTAATGTTACCAGGTAAAATATGTTCACTACAGATAGGACAAAGAAGTCTTAAGAAGTTTAGTCTACTCTGTGGCAAGAGTAGAATGGATAATTTGATTTTAAAGTAAAATCTAAGAGTCATGGAAAAAAGCAACCACAGAAGTCATAAGTGTCTAAGTAGTTTAAACCTTGGGGATAAGTATGAAAGTGAGACAGAGAGGCCACTGTAGCACTGTGGGACTCCTTTTTGAAGTTGCAGTATCAGGCAAGAGGCCTGCAGAGGAGGGAGGAATGCTAAGGTATTTAGCTGAGTATCAGCATAGCTCGGAAGCCTGAGACCCAAGGGAAACCTGTGTGGTAAAGGCCCCTAAGAAGCCAGGGAGACAGACAGAAAGGACTTGGTTAACATTGGCAGAGAAAGGGTGAGGAGCCGGGCTGCAGGGGTGGAGGTCATGGTATAAAGTCTAGTATCTTGGGGGATTTTGTTTGTTTGTTTTGTTTTTGAGATGGTCTGGCTGTGTAGCCCTGACTGGCCTGGAACTCATAGTGATCTGCGGGCTTCTGCCTCTGCTGGGGTTAAAGGCTATGTCCTACCACTGGCCCTGTATAATATTTTAAAAGACTTTTTCTTTTCTTTCTTTCTTTCTTTCTTTTCTTTCTTTCTTTCTTTCTTTCTTTCTAAAATCTAAGCTATTTGAGGACTGTTTAGAATGTTAATACTAATCCGGGGGAAGTCAATGTTAGCCTGTTGATGACAGTTATTTGTTAAAAATTCTGATTACTTCCCTCTGATGATGGTCTGTGAAGACTTTAAGATCTTTTAAGATTCAAGAAAAACAGCTGTATTCAGCCAGTAAGCATTAAAGTTTCCCTGTCTTGGGCCGGAGAGATGGTTTGCTGGTTAGGAGCACCTGCTGTGCAGGTGTGAGGGCTGGGGTTTGAATCCCCACAGAACAGAAAGGAGCTCGCCACCGAGCCTGATGATCCTAGTTTGACCCTGGATAACTGACTCCTGAAAGCTGTCTTCTGATTTCCACATAGGCAGCATAGCGAGAACGTGCAAGCACATACCCTAAATAAATGTAACAAATTTAAAAAAAATCTGCTCAGGTGGCGGTGGCACACGCCTTTAATCCCAGCACTGAGGAGGCAGAGACAGGTGGATCTCTGTGGGTTCGAGGCCAGCCTGGTCTACATCTACAGAGTGAGTTCCAGGACAGCCAGGACTACACGGAGAAACTCTTATCTTGAAAAACAGTAACAAAACAAAACAAAAAAATCTGTAACTCCCAACTGCAAAGATCTGATACACAGTTTTGTTGAGAGGAAGTCTTGCTGTATAGACCAGGTTGGCCTTGAACTCAGAGAGCTACCTGTTTCTGCTTCCCCCATACTAGGATTAAAGGCATGAGCCAACAGACATGGCTTGATACTCTCTTCTGGGCTCTAATCGTGGATAGACAGGCGTAACCTCACACGAGTGTGCACATACACTAAGATGAATCTTTTAAAGGTTCCCTATGTCTCATTCACATCATTTGTTGTGTTTCTAATAACATTGTGAGTCATGTTATCTAAATCTCTCTTTCAACCTGTAAGGATTTCTATAAATCTTTGTTAGTTAAGTTCCTGCCAATCCTGAATTCTCTGTCCCAATTTCAATTTTTGAATAACATAATAAAGGGAATTACAATACAAACGAGAAAGTCCTTACCCTGTTAGAGTGATTATATATTAAAAAAGCTGAAAGAGAACGAATGTTGGTAAGAATGTGGAGAAAACCTTATGCGTTGTTGAAATTATGGGAAATGTATGGCAATTCCTCAGAAAGCTAAACATAAACGATCAGATTTGTTAGCAATTCCACGGTATCTCCAAAGGAATTGAAACCAGTTGAGTTAAATGTTAAATACATGTACCAGGATGCATGTGTGGAGGTCGGAAGACAGCTTGTGGGAGCCGCTCCCCCCCCCCCCCCCCCCCCCCCCCCCCGTACTGATCCCAGGGATGGAACTCAGGTCATCGGGCTTGGCGGCAAGCGCTTTACAAACCACAGCCATACTGTTGGCCCTCATGTTTCTAGTTGTGATATGTGGTGGATGCAGAAAAGTGTAAAGCCACATATGTACAGCTTGAGGAATAAATATAAGGAACTGTCCATATACTGACCTCCCCAAGCAAGAGCACCATCATTAGCTTCCAAGGTCTCCATAGACTCTCCTTGATATAGAAACTTCCGCTGTTTAATGCAGCCTCACTGTTTTCACTTCTGTGACTATTTCTTTTGTTTTCCAAAATTAACCATTCTTGTATACATCTCTAAGAAAAACTTTTTAATTTTAGCCGGTTTGTGACCTTAAATAAATGGAATGATACAATCTCTTTAATAGAGGTGTTTGTACCTTGTTTTACTGTCCTTGTGAGGTTCATTTTTACTGTAGCTTGGTTGGTATCATATTCATAGTGTCCTGCCATGTTTACATACCACAACTTTTTAGTCAATGTCTCTGTTTTCCGATACAGGGCTATGATGAATAGTGCTTTTATGAATTTTATATTAAAATATTTTTGATGTGTTTGGTAAAATACACATGGCATAGGATTGCCATTTTAAATTATCATTCAGTGTGTGGTGTGTGATATTAAGACTATTTACATTATTGTGCAACTTCATTAGGCCAGTATCTAATGAAAATGGTAGTACTGTCCATTTTTATTATGATCTTGTCATCTGTTTAAAAGAAAAAAATGTTACCTGACTTTTATAAAGATGAATGATGAAAGCCTCTAGAAATATTGTATACTGCATCACGTAATGTAATTCCTGATTGTATAGAGCCATTATACTTATCTCTTCTCTCCTTTAAATGTTCATTTTCATTTAAAATATTTATCTTTAAAAGTTAAAAAAATCATTATTTATTTTTTGAGGCAGTGTCTCATGTAACTCACCCCTTAGAACAAACTTCCTTTTTGGATTTTTGAGACTATGTAGCCCTGGCTGTCCTGGAACTCTCTTTGTAGACCAGGCTGGCCTTGAACTCACAGAGATCCGTCTGCCTCTGCCTCCCCAAGTGCCAGGACTAAAGGTATGTGCCACTATGTCCAGCTTAGAACGAACTTCTTTAGAGCAAGTCTTGTAAGTGATTTATGTATATTCAGTGTAAACCCCAAACTGTAATGAAACATACTGATGAGTCTACAAAATTTCAATGGTTTCCCAGGCTGTTTTTCCCCCTGTGATTATTCAAAGCAGTTTTGTATTTGCAAAAAAAAAAAAACCCAAAAAAAATGAGAGTGCCGTATACTCTTGTCAGGGTACTAGAAACGAATTGAAGTTTAGTGTCTTAGGTGCTATTTATTGAAAGGTGAGCTCTCTGGAGGTGAATGCTACATAAAGCTGTGGTGTTTTCCTTCACTAGATGATACTCCAAATCATACTAATTCCTCCAAGGAGGTCCCTTCTTCAGCTGTTTTGAGGAGCCTTCAGGTGAACGTGGGCCCAGACGGAGAAGAGACAAGGGCTCAGACTGTACAGAAGTCCCCAGAATTCCTGTCCACTCCGGAGTCGCCCAGCCTGTTGCAAGATCTACAGCCAAGTGACAGCACTTCCTTTATTCTTCTTAACCTAACAAGAGCAGGTGCGTTTTGATCCTTTCAGAACTCTTCTCAGTTTTTAGGGGAAAAAGTTAGAGGCTGGCCAATATTTAATACTGATAAGGTGCAGAGAATCTTTATTATTTGATTTCTTTAGAGAGTTGGTGTGGTCTAGTGACTAGTTGAATATATAAAGGAAGTACAAAGACTCTGTGATGACTCTGCATTTCCTCTTGTTCAAGTTTGTGAGATGGTTGGTTATAAATTTTGCCAAGTGTAAGAACAGTCTGCTCTGCATATTTTGGCTTTTATCATCCCTGTTCTTCTCTGCAGCAGGAGAATGCTGTCTGCTCCTTTAAGGCGTGTTGGGTGTTGGGTACTGTGTATCAAAATGGTAAATGCCTTGGATATGGGTGGTTTCGCTGTGTAGCACTGACTGTCCTGAATATGGATCCCTCTGCCTCATACTGCTGAGTGCAAGGGTAGAGTGTGCCATTATGCCCTGCAACAGAAACATTCCTTGTCTGGAAAATTAATGTGGTGCCCTTGACCAAGATAGAGCCAGAACAGGCTATGGGAGGATGTTTAGTTTCAAATGAGTCTGTTGGTGTTTTGATATTGGAGGCACATTGAGGAGGGAGTCCTTTAGAGGGTTTAAAATAGGAATTCGGAGTTCTGGAAAGATTTGGTATATAGTAGGCAGTTGGGCTGCTCATCACTTTCAGAAAATGTGAAAGGATTCTGTGATTCTAGAGAAGCTGAAAGCATACGTAGAGAAAAGGTAAGCCTAGGGCCAGGGGGACATTTAAGAGGACAGCAGAACAACAAGGAGAACTGGGAGAGGATGGTGAGTGGGAAGCCACAGGCACTAAGTGATTCTATAGGATGCACTAGTGAGATTCACCGTCTGTCTGGTGACCTTTGCAAACATACTAATTATTGGAGGATAGATGTGGGGAGAGAATGGAATGTGACTGAATGGAAATACAAGTTAGAAGGTAGAGTTGTTTTGAAGCTGAGTACATACCTGTAGCTGAAGCAGGAGGCCAAGTCTGAGGCCAGCCTAGACAACATAGTGAGACCTTGTCTCCAACAAACCAACAAAAAACTTGCGGGCGAGATGGCACACACCTTTAATTTCACACTTGGGAGGCAGAGACAGGCAGACCTCTATGAGTTCCAGGCCAGCCTGGCCTACAGAGTGACCACCAGGGCTCTTAACTGCTGCGCCATCTTTCCTGCTCCAGTGAGAGAATTTAACTGAAGCATACAAGAGAGAATGACTGAGCACGGGATTGGAATATTATTTCAAATGGGAGGTGGCCTGGTTGTCAGGAAAGAAGATTATGCCTCTGAAACAAGAGGAGGTAGAGTTAACAATAAGCGTGTGGGCTGAATGGAAAAGTGATATCTTAGTTATTTATAAGAACAGAAACCTGAAGTGAGAAGGAAAGGTGTAGAATGATTTGGTTTAGGACACGAAGTCTCTGGGCCAGGGCTAATGAAAGGATGTTGGCTAACCTTCCTGTGTCACTGTCCTCCTTCCAGGTCTGGGCTCTTCAGCTGAGCACTTTGTGTTTGTACAGGATGAGACAGAGGATTCAGGGAATGACTTCCTCTCTGGGGAGAGCGCAGACAGCAGCATCCCGTGGTTCCTCCGGGTCCAGGAACTGGCCCATGACAGTTTGATCGCTGCTACCCCGCGCACAGCTGGCAAAGAGCGCAAAGACCAGCAACAGTGGTGAGACGCCTGTGGCATTTCCTTTCTGGTTTTCGCAACGGGAGTTTGGGTATTGCAATAGCTGTGTTTTCAATCATGTTTAATTCAGATTACTTTATTGATGAGAATGGAAGCCTAAAAATGAGTTGCCCTATTTTATAAAACAACTTGGCTTTGTCTACCAAATCAACTAAACTCATGTTTTGAATTTCCAACTTTTAAGTAATGTACAGAGTATCTTTTAGAGAACAACCAGGGTCTGGGAATGATGGCACAAAACCTTAGTCCCAGCATTCATGAGGCTGACACAGGAGGATTTTTAAGGCCAACATGGGCTACATAGCCCCGTCTGCTAAAAAAGAGAAAATAGTACAGAGTCTAAGGTTATCTTGAATGTTTTTATTGTAATCATTCTTAAGTATGTAAAAATACAAATTTTATATAAACTTTTTATATCTAGAACTCTAAGAAGTTAAAATAGTTTTACCAGTTAATAAAAATACAACTATAAGCTGGGCGGTGGTGGCACACACCTTTAATCCCAGCACTCGGGAGGCAGAGCCAGGCGGATCTCTGTGAGTTCGAGGCCCGCCTGGTTTACAGAGTGAACTCCAGAACAGGCACCCAAACTACACAGAGAGACCCTGTCTCGGGAAAAAAAAATGTAGCAAGGAGAGTATAGCAATAGAAAGAGAAAGATTGCTAGGTGGGACAGAACCTGCTTTTGATCAGCTGTTCATAGGGTCTGTGACATGAGTACAGCACATTATATTCTGCTCTTTGGCTTTTCAGGGGAAATTTGGAAATATCAATCCCATTCATAAGTTGTATGTAATACAAAGAACCTCAGTATACTCGTGGCAGAATAAGGGACTATGAGTTTGATCCGTTGCTGTCCAACAATATTTTGGAACAGTGAAAGAAAAGGACCACCACCTGCTGATACGGAACTTGCATACATTTTTAATTAACTGACTTGATGCAATTTTAATGCAGCCATTGTTTACCCTTCTCTTTGACTCTACTTATGGAAGAGCATGCCTATAAGTGTTCTCTCTCTTATCAAAGTTTGGTTAAAATCTTTAAAACTCATCTGAGGTTTTACATTTTTAAACATTGGATAACTAAAGAGGGGTAAGATAGGAAATTGGAAGGTTGTTCTTATCCTTCCAGTGATGGGAAATGAACAAATTGAATCAAAAGACGGAAATCTTAAGAGTGGCATTTGTGACAAAAACCTTCTATAAACTCAGCCATAGCAACGGTTTTGTCTGAATACAGGATTTTATTTAGTTAATGTATTTATTTGGTTTTTTGAGATAGGGTTTCTCTGTGTAGACCTGGCTGTTCTGAAACTCTTTCTATAGACCAGGCTAGCCTCGAACTCACAAAGGTCTGCCTGTCTCTGTCTTCTGAGTGCTAGGATTAAAGGCATGCGCTACCACTGCCCGGCCAAAATGCAGGATTTTATTACCTAGAACTTCAAGTTACCTCTGTAGCCTCCACTCTGGGTGTTACTCCTCTACCAACTTGTGTTTTACAAAATGGTGGCATTTTTTGTTTTTTTTAAGAGTAGGGTTCTTTTTGAGACTACTCAGTCAAGGATGACCTTGAATCCTGATCCTACTACTTCACCTAAAAGCTGAGATTACAGGTGTGTACCACCATGCTTGGCTCCTACAGAATAGTATTAATTCTGCTTTTGAAATAATATAAAAAGGAACCGTATTTGATATTTTTACATTTGTCAGAAACTTGGTCTTGTTAAATAAAACATGATAACTGTGGGTAATTCTCTGGATGGGGATATAGAGTACTCTCATGCCTATATATAGGAAACACAAGCAGATATCTGATTAATGATCACTAGGAATGAAATGTAGGAGTTTCATTGTTTGAACCTAAGTATCTAAGCAGGACTCTTCCCTGAACTGTAAGTATGTCACTTGTTGCAGGAGAAAATGTCCACCTTGGCTCTGGCGATGGGCAGCCCAAAGCTTCTGGGCCCCTTCCTCAAGTGGAGAAGAGACTTAAGTGCACAGTTGAAGGCTGTGACCGGACGTTCGTGTGGCCAGCTCACTTCAAGTACCACCTGAAAACCCATCGGTGAGCAAGTCATGGAGGAACTTGTCCTGATGCTCCAGTCATGCTGGCTGAGACTGTCTTCTTAGTCCGGTGTGAGGAGAGATACACACTTGTAATCTCGGCCTCCAGTCTGGGCTATAGCAAGACCTTGGCTCAGAAACCAGGATCTCTGGCTCTTGTTTGGTTTTAGATGGAATCTTATGCTGCCCAAGTTGCTGCAGATTCTTCGAGCGTAAATGATCTTGCTACCTCAGCCTTCCAAGTGTTGTGTTTACAGGCATGCCGCCTAACATGAAGCCTCCTGTTTGGTTTTGGTTTTTGTTGTTCCGTATGCACGTGTGCACAGATATCAATGCAGGCAAAACACCCATTACATGAAAATAAATAAAATAAAAATAACAACAACAACAATATATGTGCCTAGGCTGTTACCTTAAATCTGAGAGGTTTGAGTTAGTGTTGAGTCGGGATGGGGCTTTTATAATTTTAACAAGCTGGGTTATTTTGATATATCCAAGTTTGGGAGTTCATTGTGTGCCTTGAGAGTCAGTAGAAATGCTCACTTGTCACCACCAGCACAAAGTGTTTTCAGGTCCTGTTGCTTATGATGTCTTTACAGGAACGAGCGCTCCTTCATCTGCCCTGCAGAAGGCTGTGGGAAAAGCTTTTATGTGCTGCAGAGGCTGAAGGTGCACATGAGGACACACAATGGGGAGAAACCCTTTATGTGCCATGAGTCTGGGTGTGGTAAACAGTTCACCACAGCTGGCAACCTGAAGAACCACCGTCGCATCCACACAGGTGTGCAGCTCTGCATTCCCCTCATTGGCCCTGCTCCTGCTTGCCGCTTGCTTATGCTTAGGAGAGCAATCTGGGAGTAGAACTGAAGATAGAGTGGTGTTCCTAGACGCTGAAAGAAGATTTTTCTTCATTTCAGTGTCTTGTGCATTCTCTTCATTCATTATCATCTGTGTGTGAGGAATGGACAGCATTGATTTCTGTCTCCAGAAGCCTATAACTTGTAGGAAGAAATGTACGGTTGTCATAGATAGCAGTGACACCAGGAGGCGATGGACAAGTCAACCTGTTTTCCAGTCTCTCTGAACGTTGTGTAGTTGCATTTGTTGAGTCAGACAAATGTTGCAGAGCACTAAGTATGACCCTGAACGTGAGGTGCTTCCGTTCTTGTTAGAGCTCACGCCATGAGCAATAAAATAAATGTCAGAATGGAAGGAGCAAGATGAAGATTCCTTGCTTCTTAGTCTGAGATCCTACGGGTGCTTTTGGAGCCATCCTCAGAAACGTGTCCCTGCAGAACTTAGTCACTGAACTCAGATCACCGTGAGAATGGGCACCCCCTCCCTGCCTTTGTGCCGCTCTGTCTCTGCTCAAGTGACGGGAAGTTTGCTTCCAAGGCATTTAGAAAGTAAAGGCCAAGCTCAAACCACAGTTGTTCTAGACATGACTCCCTCCAGTTGGCCTAAGCTTTCGGTGTGTTGGGGAGTGGACAGTTCTCTTTTCAGCCTTCTTGAAATAGCAAATGGTCTTATCCCAAGAAGGGAATGTGAATAAAAAGTTGGAAGGCTGTCTGGTGGTCTGTATTTCAGAACATTGAGAGGCATCATTTGCTGGGTACCCTGTTGAAATTATATGGCATACGTTGAGGAAACAGAATGAGTAAGTCATTGAAAGCAGAACCACATGCTGGCCGGTTCTTACAGGGCTGAGCCTTTGCCTCCCTTTCTGTCTCTAGGAGAGAAGCCTTTCCTTTGTGAAGCCCAGGGATGTGGCCGTTCCTTCGCCGAGTATTCAAGCCTTCGGAAACACCTGGTAGTTCACTCAGGTACTAGAACCTGTGCTGTTCATAGACTTCAAACCCAGTAGGAAACAAGGGTGGGAAGGTGGTGTGCAGTATTCTAAGAAACGCTTTCCATCATAAGGTAATAAAGCTCAAGACTGAGAGATTAAGGCCCTTAATAATTATATTCAGAAGGTCTTCTCATCAGTTAGATTTATTGTTCTCTTCAGTTACTGAGGAACTTGCTAATGCAGACCTTTTTCTGAGATCTGTGGGGGATCTTTTTATATGTTATATTTAATATGGATCCTGTATTGACATTTTCATTCCTCTGGGGGAGGATTTCAAAATCCAGAGCACAGTAGAAGACTGTCAGTAGCAGCAGGGTCTGTGACATTCCTGTCTTCCGAGAAGGCATTGGTCCTGCTTCAGTCACCATTCTGACAGAAACTGCCTGGGCCCATTAGGACTTCATGGTAGCCAGTGGTGTAGAAGAAAAGACCCAGTGACCTGCTTTTCGCTTTGTGTTAAATTCCCTGCAGTTCCGTCAGCTTGCTCATTCTATGCAGATGGCTTAATCCCCCCTGATAAAAACGACTTTCAGACTTTCTGAAAACATTGTATAGCAGCTGACTTTGTAAGCTCAACGGAAAAATCTAAAGTGATATTTGTCTCCCTTCCCTCCTTTCCCATCTTCCCAAACAGATCGGCACTGACGGGGTGGAGGCTAGAGGACTGTTGATTTGGATGAAGACAGCAAAGCACTTCAGTGAGAGTCAGGGATGTGGAGATGGACAGTCAGGCAGGGATGGGAATTTCATAGTTGAGATTCAGTGCTGGAACCGTTTTATCTTCATTTTGTTGATACAGGTCTTATGTAGCACAGGATGATCTTGAACCTCTGATCATCTTGCCTCCACCTCCAGGTGTTGGGACTGCAGGTGTGGTCTTTGTACACTCGAGGCAAGTATTTGGCCAACTGAGCTCTGTCTCCGGCTCCTACGCAGTTTTTATATGATGACAAGTTCCAAGTAAAAGTGTCAGGCTGGTGGCTTGTGGGCCAGACTGTGGACTTCACATGTGTATTCCTTCCGTCTAGAGTGCTTTGTTGTACTTGTATAAAACCATGTCAGATGTATAGTCAGATACACACAAGAGTAGAGAAATAGACAGTTTCTTAGGCCTATTTAGAAATAACTTCTTGCTTTTATCTTATATTCAGTCCATGTTCTGTTCCATCCAGTTGTCTCCAAAATAACTTCAGTTCATTTATTTTAAATTTTACTTATTTTATGTTGCTGGAAATTGAAACCAAAGCCTCTTGCGTAATAGGCAATCATTTAACTGCTGAGCTACAGCCTCAACCTCGAAGTCGGTTCTTTTAGAAAAGGATACCCTGGGGTCTAATACTGCTCACTCTTGGCTGTGAAATCTTCTTTGAGCCTAAGTCTTTTTATACTGTTGTTTGTTTGGTAGACTTGTTACAGAACCGAGTTCTGGGTCCTGTAGCAGTACCATCCTCTGGATTCGTCAGCTTCCCTTCACGTCTTTCCCCCGGTGCTGGAGCTTGAACCTGGGGCCTCACACAGCTGGGCAGCAACTCTGCCACCAAAGAGTTGTTTCCCAGCACCTGCTTCTTTGGTGTCCAGCTTGTTTGCCTGTACTGAGCTCTAAAGGCTTCAACCCTTCAAAATTGGGTGCAAGAGTACGGTGTATGTGGTACTGTGTACTTCATTTGTGTCTCATCAGACCCACACAGGTCTGGTGGACAGAGTTACCAGTGGGTTCAGGTGGTGTCAACCAGGTCCTCAAGGTCCTCTCTGAATCTCCACCTGTGTTTTGCCCCTGATAGTTAATGGTAGTTTTCCTTGTATTCTTTCACATTAGCTAGAATTCTTCTGTGTGATGGGACTCTTCTCCATGAAGTAGGGCTGTTTGATCATTTACACAAGTCAATGGCAAGTTAAATAAAAAGGCTTTTTATTATGAGCTTGCTTTTGTTTTTTGTTTTTGTTTTTGTTTGCTCAAGCAGGCCTGGACTGGAACATACCAGGCTGGCCTTGAATTCCTGCCTCGACTTCCCAAGTTCTGGGATTATTTTTTTATTTTTTTTTTAAAGATTTATTTATTTATTATGTATACAATGTTCTGCCTGCATGTATGACTGCAGGCTAGAAGCGGGCACCAGATCTCATTACAGATGGTTCAGAGCCACCATGTGGTTGCTGGGAATTGAACTCAGGACCTCTGGAAGAACAGCCAGTGCTCTTCACCTCTGAGCCATCTCTCCATCCCAGTTCTGGGATTATTGAAATGCATTACCATGCCTGGTCTTCATTGTGAACTTTCAGAATAAGGAACTGGTGCTTTGGTTACTTCTAATGCAAATTAAATTGGTTTCTTGACTGTTTATAGCTAGTATAGAGACATGGAACAGAGGACTGGAGAGATGTCCCAGTAGTTAAGAGAGCACTACTTACTGTCCTTCCAGAGGACCCAGGTTCAGTTCTCAGCACCACATCAGGTGTCTTGCATCCTCCTGTAACTCCAGTTCTAGGAGACCTCATACCCTCTGGCCTTTGCGGGCACCTGCATGCAAGTGATGCATAAACCCACAGAGAAGCACACATATTCTCATATAAATTAATCTGAAAAAAGAAATACAAATGAATTTTTTGTTTGTTTTTATTTTGTTTTGTTTTCCTTTTGAGACAGAATCTCACTATATAGATCTGGCTGGTCTGGAATTCACTAAAATCTTCCACTCAAGTTCTGGGCGTGTACGATCACATCCAGCTATTTGGTTTTTTTAAAGTAAGACTTTGGAAAGGTCTGGTAGTATATTGCGTAGCACTCAGAGGCTGATACAAAAAGGATTGCCATGAATTTGAAGCTAGCCTGGGCTATATAGTGAGTTCCAAGATAGCTGGGCCTACAGAGTGAGATGTCTGTAATTTATTACCTAAAAGAAAAGAAAAGAATAGAAATGGAGATGGTTCAGAGTGGTCTAGAGCTCACTGTTGTAACCCAGGTTGGCCTTCAACATTTGTTTTAGCCTTCCTGTCTTTAGTCTCCTAAGGAATATTGGTACATAACTTTAATCTGTGAGACACTTACTTGCGTGGTCTAAATCATTAGCCATTTAAAATAGTGCTGCAATAATAAGCTATGTCTAGGTTATTTCCTGTTGTAACTTAAGAGAGGTGGGACTCCTCGATGACGGACAAAAGCTTCTGTGTTGTTTCTAGGTAATGTCAGGTTCTCCACCATGTATGTCGTGGTTTTTTGCATTCTCATCAGCAATGAAAATTGCTGCCTAATGCTTTTACCAGTTGTAAATTGGTTCCCAGTATTTACAAGTTTATTTAAAAATCCTCAGTTCTAGCTTCTTTAAAAAAAAAAAAATCTAGCAGAACAAGGCTTCTGTCTACATGTGGTTAGAACTGAATAGCAAGCAGCTGCCCTTGAACTGGGGAAGTACTCTCCATTTTACTCCTTTGTGCTACTTGCCAGACCCCTGTAAACATGAGTGTTTGCCCATGGAAATTAGCTTTCCAGCTTTGTTCTGAGTGTGGTTGTCTGAGTAGGTGAGTGAAGACTTTTGGGGACTTGTAAACAGATATGATAGTTCAGATCATTTTTGTTAAAAGAACTGTTTGCAGATATTGAAGATCTTGAGTCTTGATAGGATGTAAGATGTGGGATATTATGAACCCAGGGTTGTAATGAACCCTTGAGGTAGGTGTGATGGTTGATGGAAGACTGTTGGAAAGGAAATAAACACTTTCTGCAAGTACCATGATGCCACATTGAGGAGGCTCTTTTGGAAGGCCAGTGGGACTTTGGTCCAGAAAGAAGTAGTGCTGGGCTGGGCGGTGGTGGCACAGGCCTTTAATCCCAGCACTTGGGAGGCAGAGGCAGGTGGATCTCTGTGAGTTCAAGGCCAACCTGGGCTACAGAGTGAGTTCCAGGAAAGGCGCAAAGCTACACAGAGAAACCCTGTCTCGGAAAAAAAAAAAAAAAAAAACCCAAAAGAAGTAGTTCTGGACCCAGTGCATGTGCTAAGCCCTCCTGGGGTGGCCTTCGTGCCTTTCCTGTGAAAGAGCATCCGTAAGTCTTCTGTCTACTTGCTTCCCGTGAGAACTGTATACTGTCTTTTGGGCTGTCCTGTCTTAACATAGTTCTTTTTGCAGGAGAGAAACCTCATCAGTGCCAAGTCTGTGGGAAGACCTTTTCTCAGAGTGGGAGCAGAAATGTGCATATGAGAAAGCATCACTTGCATCTGGGAACCACTGGGAGTCAAGACCAGGAACAAACTGGTGAGGAGAATGATCATAGTGGAGAACTGTGTTCAACAGCCACGGCGTTGGCCTGCTTGACTATTTGGAAATCTAGTTAGGTTTGGGGTAGAGAGACTTGGTTTCATTTGATGGACTCATAGTTTGTAACAGCTGGACAGTACAGTCATCTGCAAACTTTCAAAACATACTTTCTTGTTGTTCATGTTCATCCCCTCACAGTAAAGGAACTTGATAAATGATGAGTTGTAAATCCCAGAACACATACTATTAAAAGTTCCACCAAGGGCTTTGCATGCAGCTCAGGAGTAGAGAGCTTGCTTAGCATGTGTAAGACCCTGGGTTTAAACACCACAAAAGGTGTGTATGTGTGTGAACATGTGTATACACACACACAAGTAAATAAATAGTGATTTCTCTGATGGTTAACACCTGTAGATCCACCTGGAAGGCTGAGGTGGGAGGACAATCTGAGCAACATGTTGAGATCCCTGTCTTAGGAAACAAACAAACAAGCCAGGTGTGGTAGCGCATGCCTTTAATCCAGGTACATTAAATTAAATTAAGGTAGAAGTGGGAGATCAACAGTTCAAGGCCAACCTCAACTACATAGCAAATTTGCAGCTAGCCTGGGCTACTTGAGACCCTGTCTCAGAAAACAAAAAATAGTAAGTAAATGTTTCCCTAATGAGTTTGAGGTCAACTAGGTGGTCTGTGATTCAGCTTTTAGGGAGCATGGGCATAAAAGATTTCTATATAACTGAAGATTTAACATTTTTTATTTAATAGTTTGGCAGCCTTTTACTGTACTTTAAAATTGATCGAACCCCTTTTTCTTTTCCATGTCTTTCTTTAAAAAATTGTAGATATTCCTTTCCTCCTCATTTCGTCTCTATTATATGCTGATCTTCAGATGGTGGTCACATGAACAGATAATTATCCCTAAGGATTGGCTTCCCCTGTAGGCTTGTTCTTGTTATCTGAAAGTGAGTGAAATAGGAGATGGGTCCAAGACAGAAACTGACAGTTCTGAGAGGTAGCCAGCCCCCTCCCTGTGAGGGGCTGAGGACCAGGCACAGCCCTCACTGCTGTGTGTCTCCCTCCTCTTCTCTGTGCAGCCGAGCCACTAATGGGCAGCAGTTTGCTTGAGGAAGCTTCAGTACCCAGTAAAAACCTGGTGTCTATGAGTTCCCAGTCCAGCCTCGGTGGAGAGTCCCTGAGTCTACCAAATACCAATTCTATTCTTGGAGTTGACGATGGTAAGACTAGTTTTTTATTGGGGGGAAACAAGTTGTAACTCAGGGCTAAAGAGTAAAGTAGCTCCAAAATTGGAGGCTTGAGTAGTAGTACCTCTTGTATGATGGTATGATTGAACAGTATTTGAATTTATTCTCTGGGGTGGATAAATGAATCTTTTTTTTTTTTAATGATTAAAACAATGTTAACACAAGAATAAAGAAAAAAATTAAAAGATAAAATTATCTGTAATCCTTAGCATCCTAGCCCAACCGTGTCTGTCTTTCCTGTTGCAGTTATGGAAGAGCTTAACTTTTAAAACATTTAAACAGAGCATAACCAGGTTTACAGAGGAGAGACAGAGCAGTTTCTCCATACCTTCAAAAGCCATATCTTCTGGAGAAAAGCAAGGGCTCTCTAGGAAACAGTTGCTCCTCTGGTATAGAAATTTCACCCAGCTTACACAGGCCAGGCCCTCTTCTCTGAAACACTTACCAGGTGAGGCCAGCATGCATTTATCCAGTGCCTACTGTGTGCCTGGCACCATGGGAAAGACTAAAGGAGGAGGCCGGGGCCATAAGCTGTAGTTGAAAAGTTGAAACAGCATAAATGTGTGAAACATCATTGAGTAAATAGATGAAATGACACCAGCCATCAGCAAACATTCATTATACAGTACAGTCTGGAAGAGCAGACCAAGCTACAGAGCCTCCAGAAAAAAGACTTATAATTTGCTTGAGGGCTAAGTGGTTTGTCTATAAAACTATTCCAAAAGATTTTCATGGTGACCCTGCTCCCCCCAATGAATGTCTACTAAGTGTAAGGTCCTGTGTCTTAGTCACACCGTCCTTCACAGTCTGAGGCATAAGTGACCGTGTAACTTCTGTGTGGCGCTTACAAGGCCTGAAATGTGCTGCCCGGTCCACCCGATCCTGAGCAGTACTAGTGCAGAGCACATCAGGAGACAGGGAAGTTGCGTGGAGAGCTTGGCCGGCTTTGAAGAAGCAAGTTCAAGGGCGGAAGGGACACTCGGTATGCATTCTGAAGGCAGGACTAGCTCAGGTTCTTGACGTGGACATCCTGCTCAGAACGTCAGTATTGACGGCCTCAAGGGCTGGCCCTCGCCCGTTCTCTGCTCTGCCTGCCTGTGCAGTGTTTGCCCTAGTTCATACAGTTGTCATCCAGGCAATAGTCCAAAAAACTGTTCTTCTAAATTGTTACATTGAAAAATTGTCATTCTTATAATAGCCAGGTTTTTTTGACTTCCCACCCTCCTTTTGTAATACTTTCTAAATCCACTAACAATGAAAAAGTAAAAGAACTTGGGATTGAGTTTTTCAGGGAACAGATTTTAGCATTTTTAATGATTGGTTTGATAAAGCAGTGGCTGTGTACTTGTGGATTCACTATTCCCTGAAAATGAATTTTCCTGTTGTTTCACAGAGGTGCTTACTGAAGGATCCTCCCGCCCCCTGTCTGCAGTGACGGGTGTGACACATCACTTGGTGACCATGCAGTCGGGGAGGCAGTCCTATGAAGTTTCTGTCCTGACTGCAGTCAATCCACAGGAGGTAAAGCTGCCTGCCTCCTGCCCTGCTTTGTTTCTGTGCCGACTTCAGTGGACAGGGATTAGAGTCTAGTTCAGTGGATCTACAACTGTGCCGCCTCCGCTTTCTGTAGCTTGGGCTGGCTTGTTCTCCAGCAGTAGTCCAGTGGTACAGTAGTCCAGTGGCACAGGAGTCCAGTGGTACAGTAGTCCAGTGGCACAGTAGTCCAGTGGCACAGGAGTCCAGTGGCACAGGAGTCCAGTGGCACAGTAGTCCAGTGGCACAGTAGTCCAGTGGCACAGTAGTCCAGTGGCACAGTAGTCCAGTGGTACAGTAGTCCAGTGGTACAGTAGTTCAGTGGTACAGTAGTCCAGTGGCACAGGAGTCCAGTGGTACAGTAGTCCAGTGGTACAGTAGTTAGTCCAGTGGTACAGGAGTCCAGTGGTACAGTAGTTAGTCCAGTGGTACAGGAGTCCAGTGGTACAGGAGTCCAGTGGCACAGGAGTCCAGTGGCACAGGAGTCTAGTGGTACAGGAGTCCAGTGGTACAGGAGTCCAGTGGCACAGGAGTCTAGTGGCACAGGAGTCCAGTGGCACAGGAGTCTAGTGGTACAGGAGTCCAGTGGCACAGTAGTCCAGTGGCACTGCAATCTGGTGTTGTCTTGTGAGTTGGGAGATTGACTCGACACTCTGAGGCCTGAGCACTCTTATACATACTTTTGTAAAGTTTACATTTTTGTTTTGAATTATTTGTACCCTGTGTGTGTGTCACGGATGCACATGATTGAAGTATCCATGGAGGTCAATAAAGAGGGTATCAGGGCGGTGGAGGCACACAACTTTAATCCCAGCACTCTGGAGACAGAGGCAGGCTGATCTCTATAAGTTGGAGACCAACCTGTTCTACAAAGCATGTCCCAAGACAGCCAGGCTGTTACACAGAGAAACCCTGCCTTGAACCAAAAGTAGGGTATCAAATTCCCTGGAGCTGGAGTTACAGGCAGTTATGAACCACGTAACATAGGTGGTGGAACTGAACTCAGGTCCTCTTCAAGAACAGTATTTGCTCTCTTAACCACTGAGCCATCTATTCTGCCCCATCATACATATTTCTTAATGAGTTGTGTTTATTCCCACTGGTTTCTGCCTCATTGGATTGCTGGTTCAAAGCTAACCTGGCAGTCTAGGCTATATTGTGAGACTACCTCTCAGAAAAACAATACCACATTTCTTTCATGTATGGAATCTAAATTAAAACAAAAAACAAGGGTCTAGGGAGATGTCTCAGTTGGTAAAGTAACTATGATGGAAGCACGAGGACTTGAGTTCAAATCCCTAGTACCCGTGTTAAAACCAGATGTGGGTGGTATGGATCTGTAACATTAGTGCTAGGAGGCAGAAACAGGTGGATCACAAGAGCTCACTGGCTAGCCAGTCTAAGAAATTAATATTTGCGCTCCAGGTTCAATGAGAGACCTTACTCTCAAGAAATGTGGAGAAGGGTCATCAAGATAACTGAGCTGGAAAAGGTGCTTGCCACCAAGCTTGATGATCTGAATTGGATTCCTACAACCCATGTAATGGAGAGAGCTGACTTCATGACATATCTTTGTGGTTTCACACAGGCCGTGCACACAGAAAGTGTAGAAAAGGTGTTTCAAAAAGTTGAAAACAATTGGCAAAGGTGTGGGTGAGCCAGCCTCGCTGTTGTGAGCATGGGAGAGCTGTCCCCCTTACTCATCTGTCATGTGGCACCCCCCCCCCCCCCCATCAATGCCTGACACAGTTGGGAGAGCTGGCCCTCAGGAGAGCTTTCCTGCTCCTCATCACCTGCCCCTGTGCCACACCTAGGCAACACAGTAGAGCTGGCCCTGAAGGTATAGGTGTGGGAGATCTGACCCTGAGGACAGGAAAGCAGGAGAACTGGCCCCGCCCCTTGCTCATCGCTGCAAGGGCTGAACTAGCCACGGCAATGCAGGAGAGTGAACCCTGGTGGTAAGGACAGGAGAGCTGGTGGGCTGACCAACCCTGCAGCTGCCCAGGCCCAGAACCAGGGTTATGTGTTGGCCCACCCCAACATCTACTTTATTGGTGATCTGCTGGAGCATGTGAAGCTGCAGGATCTCCACAACGCAGGGCAACAGCAGGATAACCAAGAGGAGTTCCAGTGAGGGCCCAGCATCGATAGTATAGCAGAAACCAGAGGCCTCAAAGCAGACCAGTGACTCTGCAGTGAACACTTGCAGGAAAGGATACATGGATAAAAGGGTTTACTGCATGTTCACTGTGTCACAATGCAGCTTCCATGATGAGATTGAGTTTCCCTTTTTTCTCTTATCTTCTTCTTTTCTCTTAAATTTTACCTTATTTTGTGGGGGAGGTTGCAAGGGCAGAGGGCAGATATGAAGGGATGGGGAAATGAATGGGATGGAGATGCATTGCATGATGTGAAAGACAAAGAATAAATAAAAAGTTTTTAAAAAATCTGAAAACAACAAAATGGTGGAGAAGCAAGAGAAAGACACCCAATATTAATAGGAAAAGACACCCAACATTAACTTCTGGTCTCCACACTTGCACACACGTGCGCACGGACATAACAAAATACACACACACATATACATTATACACACCTACACACAAGAAAACAAAAAATGATGGAGAGATGGCTCAGTAGATCAAGCTCTTGCCAGGCAAACCTCAAGGCTGTCATTCAGATACCAAGCACTGGTAGAAATACTGGGTAGTTGTGTCAGGTACTTGTCAGTCCCAGCATTCACTGGGGCAAGGTCGCTAACTAGACTAACTAGAATTTGGCAAGCTCTGGGTTCACTGAGACTCTGTCTTAGTATATACCGTGGAGAGTGATCAAGGAAGACATCTGACGTCAGCCTTAGGCCTCCACACTCATGTTCCTGCATGTATGCAAGCATGCACACACACCATTTTACAACTGCGATGGATGGCAAGACACTAACCATGGGGAGACTGAGCTGGGGCCATGGCCTGTGCCTGTAGCTCCAGTGTTCCCAGCTGAAATAAGGGGATTACAAGTTCAAGGCCAGTCTGGATTACAGCTAGATCCTATTTCAAAGACAAATGAATAGATAAGTAAGGAAATAAAAACAAACACCCCTGGAAGTAGAAGGGGAGCAATATATTTGGAAAAAAGAGGGGGTTGGGATTTCAATAGAACAAGAAAGGTCAATCAGGGTATGATCCATGCAAATATTTTTTTATTTGTTTTTTGTTTTTTGGGACAAGGTTTCTCTGTAACAGCTCTGTCTATTCTGGAACTCACTCTGTAGACCAGACTGGCCTCAAACTCACAGAGATCCACTTGCCTCTGCCTCCTGAGTGCTGGGATTACAGGTGTGTTGACACGTGCCTGTAATTCCCACTGAGAGACCAGAAGAATTATGTGTTGGAAGCCAACTTAGACTACCAAGTGAGTTCCAGGATATCCTGGGCTACAGAGTGACCCCTTCTCTCAAAAAAAAGGGTCGAAATTGGGCCAGCTGTCGAAATAGCACATACCTTTAATACCCGTATTTGAAGGCAGAGACAGGCAGATCTCTATGAGTTTGAGGCCAACCTGGTCTATATGATGAATGTTAGGCCAGCCAAGTCTACATAATGAGACCCAGCCATAAACAACTACAACAAAAACATCTAAGGAAAAAAGAAAAGGCCAAAAATCTTTATCTGAAACGTTCCCTGTTCAAAAAAGAAGATGTCATTTATTCTGCTATGGTCATGAGTATGGGAGTCAACAGGCCAAACCATCTGAGCTAAAGAACCTTGTTCAGTTGCTTGTTGGCTGAGAACTACTGTCCCAGTCAAGGAGATTTAGATAATTGTGAGCTCTTCCAACTGTATCGTCTTGACCGACCCAGAAAACAGAAGAGAAACAGGCCTTGGTCTTGAGAGCATGATTTATCACAAGTTCACTGCATGTGGATAAGCTCTCTGCAAAGATCCCTCCAGTATTTGGTTTGGCTTTACAACTGCTCCCTTTCCCTTTCCTTTCAGTATAATCTTTATGCCCTGGTAAGCATTAGAGTATCCAAATGACTCGACGTTCTACATTAAGTACTTTAAATATATTAACTCTTGGGTTGTCTGGAATCACAGGGCTCTGGGCATTCATGTCAGCACACCCTATCAGGACTTTACGTTTGCTGTTGTGACTTATTTTGTACTGAACATTCTACTGTTAGTATCATTGGTTCTAAGTTACTTTTTGTAGGTTGCTGTTTTGGAACCAGTCATCTCTGTCTTCTGCAACTGTCCCCTCTGTTTTTGCCTCTCTTCATTTCCCTTCTTTGAAATTGATCTCATGGAAATAGCTTTTAGAGGGTCTATTGAGAGAGGTGTGAGTATAAAAACCCATGTGTCTTTCACCCAACTTGAATAATTATTTTTATGTTTTGACTGCATGTATGTATGTGTATCCCATGCATGCCTGGTTCCCTAGGGGGCCAGAGAAGGCATCAGATGCTATTGAACTGGAGTTACAGGTAGTTGGGAGCCACTGTGTGGGTGCTGGGAACCAAATTCACATTTTCTGCAAGAGCAGCAAATGCTCTTAACTGCTGAGCCATCTCTCCAGCCCCTCAGTACTTGACGTTAGACTATGTTTGTTTTCTCTTACTATTTATGCCAGAATATTTTAAAGTATTATAGACCTATCTGTAATTTTTTTTTTTTTTTTTTTTTTTTTGGTTTTTCGAGACAGGGTTTCTCTGTGTAGCTTTGCGCCTTTCCTGGAACTCACTCTGTAGCCCAGGCTGGCCTCGAACTCACGGAGATCCGCCTGCCTCTGCCTCCCGAGTGCTGGGATTAAAGGTGTGCGCCACCACCACCCGGCTTGTAATTTTTTTAAGAGTATACCTCTTAAAAGATAAGGATTTAGGAAATAACTCTATTTCCATACCCAACAAGTTTAGTAATAATTTTTTATCCTCTAATATTTAGTTCCTGTTTTTTATCTCCTCAAAAATGTCTTTGGTTGTTTAACTTGAACCAAAACCCATGTATTGCATTTGGTTAACACATTACTTTGTTTCTCTGTTGCTGTGATTTAAACACCATGACCAAAAGCAACTTGGGGAAGAAAAGGTTTATTACAACCCCATCACGGAGGAAAGCCAGGGCAAGAACCTAGAATCAGGCACTGAAGCCGAGACCAGGGAGGAATATTGCTTACTGGCATGCTCTGCCTGTTTTCTGGTGGGACTGGGGAGGTAGCTCATTTTGGTCAAGTGCTTGCCATACAAGCGTGAGGACCTGAGTTGGCTCCCAAGAACTCTTGTAAAACAGCCAAGCATGGTGACATATGCCTGTGGTCCTAGCACTGGGGAGCTAAAAAAAATTCTAGGTTTGGCGCACATGCTTTGTAATCTTGTACTGGGAAGGTAGAGACGGGCAATATGTGAACACATCAGCCAACTGACCTTGTCAAAATCCATGAGTTCCAGGCTAGCAAGAGCCCTTGTCTCAAAAAAAACCACACACACACACACACACACACACACACACACACACACACACACACACACGGTGGATGGCATGTGGACCTCCTTCATGCACATATATACATACACACACAGGTGGAAACTGGTTTCATCAGTTATTCAAAAACTGAACAGTATTGAGTGAAATATCAGTGTTTGCTATAGCCCCGTAGGAACCCTTCAGGCCCATCTCCCTTCACCACAGAAAAGGTTTTAAGCCAGTGAAACCCCAAATCTCTAATGGGTAGGTTCCTGCTTCAGGACTTGGAACAGAAACAGCTCCCTTTCCTGCTTGTCTGTTTTGGGTTGACTCTGACTTTGTAACTTTGTTCTGCCATTACCGATTTCCCTCTGTGTTGACTCTTCCGTCACCGACTGGCGAGTATGAACACGATTGTTGAGCCTATAGATTCAGGTTATTTTATTGCCGTAGTTAATGTGGCAGCCAGGCATGGTGGCTCACGCCTTTAATCACAGCACTCAGGAGACAGAGGCAGGCAGAGCTCGGAGTTCAAGGCTGGTCTGGTCTACATACTAAGTTCCAGGACAGCCAGGGCTACACAGAGAAAACCCTGTCTCACAAAACAACAACAAAAGCAAGCTTTTGGGGGCTAGAAAAATGGCTCAGTAGTTAAGAGCACTGGAGGCTCTTCCATAGGACCTGAGTTCAATTCCCAGCACCTACACTGCAGTTTACAACTGTAACTCCAGGGGAATCCAACACCCTTATATACACATATATGCAGGCAAATACCAATACATATGAAATAAATCATTTCTTAAAAATTAAAAAAACTGGAGTATAAATTAGTTCTGTCCATCATCCTTACTGAATTTATCAGTGCATTCCCCAGACTCCATTCTTAACCCTTTTAAAGCATGAACCTAATTAGTCATCAATAAATCCAAGAGTCAGATATTGGGGTAATAACCTGAAAGATGAGAGAAGCAGAGGAGCAGCCACCAGTGCCTTCGGACATTTCTGACCAATCTCTGCCCTGCCTTGTCACTTCCTCCCTCTCCCTCCCTAGTGCTGGGACTAACGGTGTGTCCCCTATGGCTAGCTCTGCTCTCTCATCTCCAGGCAAGCTCTATTTGTCAGAACACAAACAAGTATCACACAACACCCTTTCGTTTAGTCTAAGCTGTTCTTTTGCTTCTCTAATTCATCCATAACCTAGTCTATATTTGTTTTCAATTTTATAGTTACTAAATCAAGGAGATTTAACTGAAAGACAGACATGAGTATGCTGACTCCTGGAGGAGCAGCTCTATCTGCCCCCAGAGTGCATGATGGGAACAAGATCCAAAAGGCTCACATTCTGCCAGAACTAAAATGAATCTGTGAAGGACAATGACCTCACCCTGCCTCTGTTCATCTTCCCTGGCAGAGAAGAGGGATGTCTGAGGGCCTCTCTTCAACCTCCATCTGATCCAGACAGAGTGAGGCAGTGACGAAGGCTGGGTACCTGTAGCCGCCTCTCACTCTTCCCACTGCAAAGTTCTGGGGTGGACTTCTCTCAAAAGCAAGTTTAATGATGTGTTGGATGAAGATTTTCATTGTGACTGTTCAGGTTTCCCTTTGAAGAGTCTTCATCCTAGACCCAGCTGTCTTTTCAGAGGGTTGAATGATTTCCTGCCTCCAACCACAGAACTTCACCAGGACATTGAGTTTTCGAGATGCCTTGTTGCTTTGAAGAAGGAAGTGATGTCAATTATGTTGTGGCATTTTTCCTTTAGCAACCTGAGTAAAGGACTCTCAGCCACTGGGCTGTAAAAAAATAAATTACTTGAATCTCCCCTTGGCCCAGGCTGAGGTACCAACTTACCCTGTACACCTCGACTCGGTCATTTTTTGTTTCGTTTGGGACTTAAAATAGCATGTTATGAGGGGGGGTTGTTTATTTTTGTTTTGTTTAAGTTAAAAACCACATGATCTAGAGTTTCAGTTTTCCTTTTAAATAAACAAAACAACCCAATCGGCTCTTTGGCTCTTGTTTTAGACCAGTGGTCTTCAACCTTCCTAATACTACAACCCTTTAATGCAGATCCTCATGTTGTGGTGACCCCAACCATAAAATTATCTGTTGCTACTTCATAACTGTAATTTTGCTACCGTTATGAACTGTAACATGAATATCTGATGTGCGGGATATCTGATGGGGTCACGACCCGCAGGTTGAGAACTGTTTTAGACAGATGTGTTCTTAGAGAAGTCAAGAAAATAATCCAGTCTTTCTCTTTAAGATATGGCACTGAAGAGAGAGGGATAGGAGCTCATGCCTTTAAGGCAGTCAGATCTCTTAGGAGTTTGAGACCAGCCTTGTCACATAAGTCCCAGGGCAGTCAAGTCTACACAGAGACACGACACTGATAAGCCAGGTGTGGTGGTGCCCCAGCATTCAGAGGACGGACTTCTGAGTTTGAGCCCAGCCCGATTTACATAGGGAATTCCAGAACAGCCAGGGCTACACAAACAGCTCACAACACCCTCTAACTCCAGCTCCAGGGGATCTGATGCCCTCTGCGGGCTTCTGTGGGTACTTGCTTCGTGCACATACCCCCCACAACACACACATACACAACATAGTTTTAAAAATAAGGGAAAACACTACTACCATAAAATAGGGCACTGATTGACTTTTAGGCTACTACATAGGTAAAACTGAACTGAGGAGCCTTAGAAAACTGGACACCAGGCCAGCCTGGTCTACACAGAGAAACCCTGTCTTGAAAAAGAAAACCTGAAACTAGTGTCTTTTTTTTTTTTTTAATTAGAACTGGCAAACCTAAGCTGGTGGCAGTGCACGCCTTTAATCTCAGCACTCAGGAGGCAGAGGCAGCTGGATCTCTTGAATTCGAGGCCAGCCTGCTCTATAGAGAGTTCCAGGACAGTGAGAGCTACACAGAGAAACCTTGTCTTAAAAGGGTAATTCGGTGGGCTGGAGAGATGGCTCAGAGGTTAAGAGCACTGACTGCTCTTCCAGAGGTCCTGAGTTCAATTCCCAGCAACCACATGGTGGCTCACAACCATCTGTAATGAGATCTGGTGCCCTCTTCTGGTCTGCAGTCATACATGCTATATATCTAATAAATAAATAAATCTTTAAAAAAAAAAAAAAAAAAAGGGTAATTCGGATTTTTCCAGAAATTGTTAAACATGAGAAATAGGCTTCTGTTGGCCCATTGCCTGTGGCACAGTTATTGACAAGAAAGACACCCCAAAGATCCACTATTAGTACAAAGTCGTAGTGGTCACAGAAGTTTTATTTAAGGTGAGCTTTATGCTGACACACATGCAAACAGTGCTGTGTTCTCAAAGTGGCAGAGAAGAGCTGCTGCTCTGAATCTGTTATTGGCATGCATAATTATCCTATAGTATGGAAACCAAGTTCATAGCAATGACTTGATTTTCCACCATTGCCAGTCTTTGCTTTCTGCAGCAGAGATTCTCAATCCAGGACTTTTTTGCCCTCTAGAGGCCATTGGCAATATCTAGAAACATTTTTTATTGTCAACAACCCAGAGGGGTGCTACAGGGCGTACAGTAGGTATGGGATAGAAACTGACCTGTCCCTATGTGTCAATCAGATGCTAATGATAAAGCCTGTGCTTAAGGCTGCAGATGTGGACTAAAGAGAAATATATTTTATTTCACACACAGTATTCCTAAATGTTTATTTGCCAGGACGCAAGATTTCTGGCTGCTGATGAGAATGTGTCGGTCCCGTGGTCCTGGATCTCCATTTCCTTATTGCTACCTGTTTTTCTACCTGCATTCCTCTTATACCTACTCCATAGGTATGGACCTTATTTCCTATTCCTACTCCTTAGTGTCAAGTGCAAAACAAGAACCTTTAACATTGGGCTAGGACCCCTCCACCCTCCACTCCACTTTGATCTCTGCAGGCCATTTCTGTTGTTACTGCCTCCCATTCCCTAACAGTAGCCATGATTCTAAACTCAAGCTCCTCACCTAGTTGGCTGCTTGATGATCAAATGGGATAATGATGAGTGAACTGCTTCAACAAGCAGTCTGGTTAGCTGTTCAAGCCACTGCTCTTCCAACTCCTCCTTGGGTCAGCACGCTGGTCTAGAGTCTTCTAAATCCTGCCATGACTCTCCGATGCTGAGTTTTATAGTTTCATGGATGCTGAAAAAACAATATTTTAAATTGAAAGGATATGTAAGGCTTAAGAATAGTCTCAACATTTTCATTATTTTATTTGGCAGAAATGGAATTTTAAAGATAAAAACAGGAATTACATGGACTTAAAACAATAAAATTGGAAATAACAGTAATATTTTGCTCTTCTCTCTTTGCTTTATATCAGTTATGAAAGAGGTGATGCCAGGGAGTCAGCCATAAGGAGGTCTGCCAGACAAGCAGCATTATCATCTCACAAGCAGAGATGTGTGCTCAGAGGTGTGTGGACGAGTTGTTAGGTATGCACAGGACTGCAATCTCAAAATGAGTGACTTCTCTAAGTCTGCTCCCAGTGGCATCATTGCGGATAGCGAGGTAGAGCTACGGGATGGTCCAGGCTCTCTTTACCTATGAGAATCCTTGACTTTGCCTTCCTCCTTGCTTTGCACAGCCTGTGTGCCTTGACTCTTGGTTATCACAAACTCTTCCTCCAGGCCCGCCTGCCGCAGGGTGTGCCGATACCGCTCTTCTGCTTCTTTCCTGGCGAGCGCCTGTGGAGTGGAAGCCGGCTGACTGCAGCAGTCTTTCGAATTGTGATTCTGAGTTACCTGGGTAATCAGTCTTTAGAATAATGCCCCTGCCACCACCCCCCACCTTCAGTGCTAGACCAAAGTTGGCACAAAATTTCCTTAGAGCCTTATTTTATAGCCATAGTTGGTAAAGGAGTCCGTCCCATGGGGATCTTGTTCAAAAGCAGGTTTTCATTTAGTCTCAGATGGGGCCTACAAGTCTGTGTTCTAACACTTCTGAGAGGTGTCACTGTTAATTAACTTTAGAGCCACACCTTGAAAAGCACCAAATCATCATCAGGAAGACTAACATATTACAAATATTTAGCAGCCTCTCTGTTTTGCAGAGAGCTAGAAGAAGCCTGTCTTGTTTTGTGTATTCAAGAACAAAACCACAGACTGTTTGTATTTTGTTCTAGAATGTGGAAAGGTCTGTTGGGAAAAGAAGAATAGGCTTACTTGACAAAAATGAACCTAAAGAGGTCAGCCTAAGTAAAGTCTAGATGGTCCAGCATGGGGGAGGGGCATCTGCAGCAGGAGACCCACCATTACCTAGGAATATCACACATGTTGTATGATGGAGCTCTTGCCCACAGTGAACCACGGAGCCAGACACAGCACTTAACTGCCTGGGGCAGGTCTCTGGGTGTTCAAGGGCTCCAGAGCTTCTTTCAGGAGATCTTAATTGAATTGAGCTCTTAAAGTCCAGAGAAAGTTTTCAAATGAATTTGTCAGCTGGAAAGCCACTTAATCTGGAAAGAACTTTGTGGGGTGCTTAAAAGCACCCTGACCTTTAAGGACCTATATTTGGAGTAAAATGGCATTAATAAAGCAAATAACCCGGGGCTGGAGTGATGGCTCAGCGGTTAAGAGCACCAACTGCTCTACCAGAGGACCCGGGTTCAATTCCCAGCACCTACATGGCAGCTAACAACTGTCTGTAACTCTGACGCTCTTCACACAGACATACATGCAGGTTAAATACCAATGCATGTGAAATGAAAGATAAACAAAATTTAAAAAAGCAAATAGCCCTTGTCATTAACTAACTGCCTGACAGAAGCAATGTAAAAACCGGGTGTGGTGGTGCACGTCTGTAATCCCAGATCAGGGGAGGTTAAGGCAGGAGGGTGGTGGGGTCAAGTCCAGCCTGGGCTCAGTGAGTTCTAGGTCAGCTTGAGCTACATAAAGAGAAACCCTGTCTCAAATGTCTTTACATTTTAGAAAGAGAAAAGAAGCCAGGTGGGCGGTGGCACATGCCTTTAATCCTAGCACTTGGGAGGCAGAGCCACACACAGATCTCTGTGAGTTTGAGGCCAGCCTGGTCTACAGAACAAGATCCAGGACAGGCACCAAAGCTACACAGAGAAATCCTGTCTCAAAAAAAAAAAAGAGAAATACTTATTTTGGCTTGTGGTTGCAGAAGTCTGAGTCCACGGTCCCTTGCCCCTGTCACTTTGACCTTCTGAACAGTATGGAGGGGGAAGCATATGGCAGAGGCTGTGCATGTCATGATGGCCCGGAATCGAAGAGAATGTCCCTGTGCCTGTGCCTTTTATCACCTGGGCTCCCAACCTATGAGATCATGCTGCCCACAGTTAGTTCTTTCTGGAAACCCCCTCGCAGACACACCCCGAAGTGTACTGTTTAACTTTCTAGGTCATTCAGTACAATCAAATTGAAAAGATTAACCATCATGGAATTCAGTTTAGAATAGCTGAGTCCTAAGGAACTCTTTAATACAGTTTCTAAGACACTTGACCCAAGGCAGAGAAGGGTCTGGGTTTTACCTTGGTAACTTGCTCGAAGAGGTAGGGCCTTGTTTGTATTCTTCTCTTCATTTCCTCCAGCTCATTCTTATACTCCTTTGTTCTTTTACGGTCATTGTTCCTGGAATTAACAAAGTTTCTAGAAGCAACCAATCTTTTTCAATTAGAAAACCCTTCCTTCAAGTTAAGCAGTTATCCCCATGTACACTGAATTCCAACTGCCTGCCAAACAAAATCCTTGACTGACTCTGATGACTCAGTTTACCCTGACTCCATTTTGCTATTTCAAAGCCAGTGATGTGCTGTAACCTAAGACAGACACCCCTCTGAACATTGGGGACACTGACCGGTTCTCTTTAAGCTTCGCTTTGAACACCTCTTCCAGACTTTTATGGGGATCCATGGCTTTTGCCCGCAAGGTCACAGATTTAGACATGGCTTGACAGTTCTTTTTGTGCATCTCCAACCACTGAATGTCTGGTTTGTCCTTTTTTTCAAGTGACATTCTAAAGGAGAGAGCAAAAATAACAGATAACTTGGGTGTGTTTGTAAGTAACTTAGTAACTTCTCTGGAAAATCAGTTAAGTGGTTTTTTTTTTTTTTTTGGTAAGATTTTTTTTTGGTTTGTTTATGTGTATATTTGGGGGGCAGGGATGTGTGCAGGTGTGAGTGCAGGTGCCCCCAGGATGCAGAGGGCATCAAGTCTGTTGGAGCTGGAGTGACAGGCAGTTGTGAGTTGCCTAGTGTGGGTGCTAGGAACCATATTCACATCCCCTGCAATACATACTCTTAACTATCTTCGGCTCCTAGCTGGGGTTTCTATGAATAAGGTATTTCTATCAATCTGCCACAAGTACACTTCCAGAAAGAAAGATTCTGGGGATGCGTGTGGCGGTACACACCTGTAATCCCAGCACTTGAGAACAGGATCAGATGTTCAGCACTATGGGTCCTGTGATTTCCCACCAAGAGATACCCATTTTTTGACAGAATACCTGAGTTAAAATGGCCTTACATATCTAAGATTCACTAGGTCGGTTCGGCTTTTCCCTTATCTGGAGCAGTACTAGAGCTACCATTTACCAAGCTGCCTACCAAGAACCAAAGACCATTTCATTTCATGCAATTCTCACAAGGCCCTACGGAGGTAGACACTCGAGGCCTCCTTCTGACACAGGGGACTGGGAGGCAGAAAGCCTCCTGTCCATAGCTACTCAGCATACAAAGGGAAAGCCAAAATCAGAACCAGGATGGCAGATTCCTGAGTTTGCCCCTGACCACTGTGTTATAAACAGTGGTCAGGCAGTGACTTAGGTTCCCAGTTTCCGAAAGGTCAACTCTCCACTTCCATAAAGGTCTGGAAACAGGCCTCCTCCAATGTAGGCAATGTGGGTTCAACTTGGAGCACTCAACTTGTGTAATTATTCTAGAGTTCTGTGGTAGGTTCCACCAAAAGATGAAGTAATAAGACTCTGCACTTAGAAATACATTCAAACAGATCAGGAAGAAAGGCACAAAAGCTAATCTAAAATGTCCACGCCCTGCCATTGGATAGCAGATGTGATCGCCTCCTGGGCCTTGGGATACTGATGGGCTTGGCCTGTGCTTAGACAACATAAATCTGAGGAGGGAGGGATTATCTCTGTATCCTAAATATATTCCTGCAACGTCTGAAGGAGAAGTTGGGAGGCTCTGGGATGCCCTGAGGTGTCAGGCCTTTGCCCAGGCTCAGCTTCATGCTAAGCCACAGCTCCCTGGCTCATTTCAGAGCCCTGATGCAGGACTTCCTGCTGACTGAATGAGAGCACCACAGAGTCAGGTCAGCTGGACTGCTAGAAATTCCAGACTTGAGGTCACTTGGCTGCACAAGGCCCTGAGTTTGAGCTCTAGTACTGAACTAAAAGAGGACAGAAAAGAAAGGAAAGGGAGGGGAAGGGAAGAGGAGGAAAGGAATATAAAACAAGAACCTGCTTCCCAGCAGGCGCTGCCCTTCTCCAAGACGAACCTCAGATCTGGACCACCTGCGCATGGCTGTCATGTCTTGGCCGTGGTGGGCTCCGCTCCCCGCTGCCATGCCCGAGTCTGATCTGTATTCCCTGTGGCTACCTTTCCCTCTTACACACAGGCTTTTGTTCCGCTTTAGAAAGAAAAGGCCATTGAGCACACTGCAAGGGACAGCAGGCTGGACAACACACACAATACTCCTAACTGTCTCGTGGGCAGGGTTTACACACTCCCTTGTTCTGGAACCTTCTCTCTCGCCAGCCTTTGTCTGACTTGTTCCTCTTCGTTCTCTTGTTGTTGTTGTTGTTGCTGCTGTTTTGTTGGTTTTTCGAGACAGGGTTTTCTCTGTGTAGCCCTGGCTGTCCTGGATCTCACTTTGTAGACCAGGCTGGCCTCGAACTCACAGAGATCGGCCTGCCTCTGCCTCCCGAGTGCTGGGATTAAAGGCGTGCGCCACCACCGCTGGCTGATCCTCTTTACTCTTTGGAGGGGGCAGTTCTCACAGTGTGCAAGTGGAAGTCGGAGATAACTTGCAAGAGTCACTTCTTACATTCTACTGCGTGGGTCCTGGGAGTGAGCTGAGGTCGGCAGGCTCGTCAGCAAGTGCATTTACCCACCCTGCCATCTGGCTGGCCCCACCTTATGGTTCAAGACCGTAGCTGCTCACTGAATCTGGAACTCCCTTCTTGGCTAGACTGGATGTCCACCAAGCGGGAGGATTTGCCTCTCTCCACCCACCACTGACCCGAAAGGCCAGAGTTGCAGGTACACAGACATACAGGGGGCCGGGGATCTGAACTCGGGTCCTCACACTTCACAGCAGATGCTTTACCAACTGAGCCGTCTCCCCAGCCCCTTCCTCCTTAGTCTATTCTTCATGTTTTACCTTAGATATGTGATCCAAAAGATGGGAGACCACCACCCTAAGTTTCCCTGTGCCGTCATAGTCCTCTGTGTGTGCACCGCTCATATAACAGGGCAGTCACCCCGAAAAATCCCAAGATTCAGACTTCGTTTACATTGAGTTCTCCGGGCATCTCTGGCTTAACACCGTGTCTTGCACAGACTAAGACCCCAAAAGGATTTTCTGGAGAGAGCACGTATTCCTGCCCCGTCAGAGGATTCCTTCAGTCCCCTGAGGTGTTTCTGATAATCCGGCAACAGGAGCAGCTCTAGCATTTGGGACCAAAGCCTGTCAGAGTCTGCGGTGGCCTCCTTACTCACCGGACTGCAGACTCCCTCTTCCTGGTGGCATCTGGAATGTGCACAGGGAGGGTGTTGGCAGAGAAGGAAGCAAGGCCACTCAGAGAACGACTCCTTGGCAGGGGTGTAGCTGCTGGCCGAGGGGACTTCTGCAAGAGAGGAGGGCGGGCATTGGTGACGACATGGGGTTAGTTTCTGTCCTAAGATTCAGTTTCAGTGAAGGACGAGAAAGGAGAATCTTTATTCCCCCACCCCTGGGGAGAAGGAGAACAAGATCTTGTTGAGTGACTTGAAGGCCCACACTTGCATACCAATCCTAATGTTTCCAGTCAAGTGAGAAGAGTTCTGGAGTTGTGTGATTGGCTTCATCAACCTAACACACTCTAGAATTACCTGGGAAGAGAATCTCACTGTGGAACTGTCTAGATTGGGCAGGCCTGGGGGCATGTCCACGGGGGATTACCTTGATTGTTTTAATTAAGGTGGACAGACCTGCCAACTGTGGCAGAGTGGACAGTGAGCACAGGTGTGCACTCACTCACTCTAGACTTGCCAACTGTGGAAGAGTGGACAGTGAGCACAGGTGTGCACTCACTCACTCACTCTAGACCTGCCAACTGTGGAAGAGTGGACAGTGTGCACAGGTGTGAACTCACTCACTCTAGACCTGCCTGCCAACTGTGGAAGAGTGGACAGTGTGCACAGGTGTGCACTCACTCACTCACTCTAGACCTGCCAACTGTGGAAGAGTGGACAGTGAGCACAGGTGTGAACCCACTCACTCACTCTAGACCTGCCAACTGTGGAAGAGTGGACAGTGAGCACAGGTGTGAACCCACTCACTTTAGACCTGCCAACTGTGGAAGAGTGGACAGTGAGCACAGGTGTGAACCCACTCACTCTAGACCTGCCAACTGTGGCAGAGTGGACAGTGAGCACAGGTGTGCACTCACTCACTCTAGACCTGCCAACTGTGGAAGAATGGACAGTGAGCACAGGTGTGCACTCACTCACTCACTCTAGACCTGCCTGCCAACTGTGGAAGAGTGGACAGTGTGCACAGGTGTGCACTCACTCACTCACTCTAGACCTGCCAACTATGGAAGAGTGGACAGTGAGCACAGGTGTGAACCCACTCACTCACTCTAGACCTGCCAACTGTGGAAGAGTGGACAGTGAGCACAGGTGTGAACCCACTCACTTTAGACCTGCCAACTGTGGAAGAGTGGACAGTGAGCACAGGTGTGAACCCACTCACTTTAGACCTGCCAACTGTGGAAGAGTGGACAGTGAGCACAGGTGTGAACCCACTCACTTTAGACCTGCCAACTGTGGAAGAGTGGACAGTGAGCATAGGTGTGAACCCACTCACTTTAGACCTGCCAACTGTGGAAGAGTGGACAGTGAGCACAGGTGTGAACTCACTCACGACCTGCCAACTGTGGAAGAGTGGACAGTGAGCACAGGTGTGAACTCACTCTAAACCTGCCAACTGTGGAAGAGTGGACAGTGTGCACAGGTGTGCACTCACTCACAGAAGAGTGGACAGTGTGCACAGGTGTGCACTCACTCACAGAAGAGTGGACAGTGTGCACAGGTGTGCACTCACTCACAGAAGAGTGGACAGAGTGTGCACAGGTGTGCACTCACTCACTCTTGGCTCGTGACTATAAATGCGGTCAGCTGTCTCAAGCACCCGCCTCTCTAACCCCTCAGCTGTCACAGACTATGACTAGAATAAGCCTTTCTCCCTCCAGCTGCTTTGGTCACGGCATTTTATCACAGTGACAGGAAACAAAGCCACGACAGACTGGCCTCTCAGACTTGCCTGGACTTCCATTTGCAGAAATGCCTCTAGGGAGGTGTGAAAGGGAATGTTCTTGTTTTCAGTTTACAGAATGTGTTTCTGCGTGCAACTGAGCAGATGTTCAAAAAATAAAACTGAAGACAGAAAAATGTCAAGACAAGTGCCTTCCTTTGAGACATGGGCCCGCCCTGCTACCTGCCTGGGTCCCCATCCTCCCTCCTCCAGCAGCAGTGGCCTCACAGGACCGCGGAGTGTGGCACAGGTTGGCAGTCCGGAGCAGGAAGGGCTTGTTTCGAGTTGTCTCCCGGGTCTCTCTTCTCTTGGCCGCTCTTCTCTGGAAAGCCTTGTAAAGGCCCTCGTAGTCAGGGACCACAGAGTTCACCCGCGGCTGGAATCCGAACTCGGTCTGTAGAAAGCTCAGCTTTTCCTCCTGGGTGCGGGCAGCGGTGCGGGGAGCGCGGCTGCTGGAGGTGCTGATAGGGGACGAAGCCATCTGGAGCATGTCCATGGCTCGCATCTGGATTCGAATTTTCCGGAGGAGCTCCGCTTCTGTGAAGAGGGCAGTGAAGGAAGAGGGGAGGCGGCAGGTCTGGAGAACAGTCTCCCCCTTTTGAGACAGGCTCTCCCTATGTAGCCCAGATTGGTCTCCAACTTATCCAACCTCCTGCCTTGACTTCCTGAGTAGGTGGGATTACAGGCACAGGCAACCACAGGCCCAAACTTACCCTCATTTAAACACTAAGAGCAGCAGCGTGCTAAAGCCAGTGGTGAATAACGGGAACAAGTTAACCATCAGCCCCCAAGTGATTAGCCCCTCTGCAGGATGAGGGAGGGAGAGCTGGCCTTCCCAGAGGCAGCAGGCTGGAAAAGGCACTGGCTGGTGGAAGGAGGGTCTACATGTCATGATCTTTGCTTCCATACCTAGGCCAGGCCAGAGGCTTTCACGTGTGCTTACACAGGCAGGTCACCAGGCTGAGCCTGGGAGTGGGGGCTGAGGGAAGGGGCAGGGGGGTGGGGTTGGAGCTGTTGCTGTAGGACCTCCCTATAGATCAGTGGTTCTCAACCTGTGGGCCTCGACCCCATCAGGTAGCCTGAGTCAGATATTTACATTACAATTCATGAGAGTAGCAAAATTACAGCTATGAAGTAGCGACGAAATCGTTTTATAGTTTGCGGGGGTGGGGTACTCACCACAACATGAGGAACTGTATTAAAGGGTCACAGCATGAGGAAGGTTGAGAACCACCTCGGACAGACCCAACTCTCTCTGCTGGCCTACACGGAGCATGGGCAATCTCCACACCAGTGTAGTCCCTGAATCTTCATCCTAAATCCCTGCAGTGCCTCTGGGGACCCCAGGCCAGAGGTAGCCAGGGGTGCCAAGAGTATCCTTACCCTGGAGTTTGTCCCCAAGGGCTGGTTCCAGAATGGCCTTGGGAATCCTTCTAGTGGCCTTCTTTAGGGGGACCTTGGCCTGAGCCACTGCAGCCGAGTCTCTCTGTGGAGCAGCTTCCTTTGGCTGCTCTTTCTTTTCAAGGAAGCTGAAGGGCTTCACGGAGGAGAGAAGCAGCTCCTTCCTCTTCTGGATCCCTGCACGCCTCCGTGCCTCGCTGCGCTCCACGATCTCCTGGTAGAGTGGGAGGTAGACGTGCGCGGGCACAGGCTGGGCCCGGAACTGCCGGTAGCACTCTGCCTCCTCCTGGCCCTGTTTCTGGGCCTGCAGCCTCTCCTGCTCAAAGGAGGCAGGTGAGGCCAGCCACTGGGCCTTCTTCCGGGCCTCACGCAGTGTCATGCGGAAGGGTTGAGGGACAGTGATGGAGGATGCCCAGGAGGAAACACTTCTGTGCTGGGAGGGAGGCCCAGAGTCTGAGGTTGGCAGGATCTGAACCTTGGGAATGTCAGAGGGGAGGCTGGTCATGGAGCTGCAGCGCCTCATGGAGCCACACCTGGAGGAGAAAGCAGTGCTATGGGGGGACCCAGCAGTCAGGAGGCCTGGCTCCTCGGAGAGCCCCCTCCCCAGCCTCCCTGGCCAGCTTCTTAGCCTTGACCCCAAAGCCCCAAAGGCCTCTAAGTTCTTAACCTTACCAGCTAGGCTTCCCTTCTTGCCACAGGCAATCCCAGCAGCCCAATAGGAACTATCTCCTAGGAATTCCTGCAGGAATTGCCCCTTGCAGTCTGACAACTGCATAAGATCAACAGTGTGGAGCGGTGGCAGCACAGGGCCGCAGAGTCAGAGGATCCAATTCACACCTTGAGGGTTTTGGATTTCCCATGCAGAGTGGCAAACATAATATCCACTTACAAGGTTATTGGGAAGAGAGTACATATCAAATGAGATACAGGCCAGTGTGGTGGCACATGCCTGTAATCCAGGCCCTTGAGAGGTGTAACTGGGAAGTTCAGGGGTTTCAGGCCAGCCTGGATTACATGAGACTCTGTCTCAAAAAGAAGGGAAAAAACAAAACAAAAGACAAAGCATATATATGTGCACTGGCAGACTGGGCCACAGACAATGCCTTGACATTCTGGGAGGAAAGGCATCCCTTTGGTCAACTCCAGTGCTTCCACTGAGTAAGTGCTGCCCAGAGTTATTTAGGATCGCTGGGTAAGACTCAAAACACGTGGGCTGGAGAGATGGTTCAGCAGTTAAGAGCACTGGCTGCTCTTCCAGAGGACCTGGGTTCGATTCCCAGCATGTACATGGCAGCTCAGAGCTGTCTGTTCCTTCAGTTCCAGGGAACCCAAAGTTCTTCTGTTCTCCGTGGTCACTAGGCATGTATATGGTACACATACATGCAGGCAAAACACCCGCAGACATAAAATAACATTTTTAAAAAGAATCACAGGCCAGGCGGTGGCAGGCAGAGGCAGGCGGATCTGTGAGTTCGAGGCCAGCCTGGTCTACAGAGTGAGTTCCGGACAGGCTCCAAAGCATATAGAACACACACACACACACCCCATTAAAAAATAAATAAATAGCCAGGCAGTGTTGGCACACACCTTTAATTCCAGCACTCAGGAGGCAGAGCCAGGTGGATCTCTGTGAGTTCGAGGCCAGCCTGGTCTACAAAGTGAGATTCAGGACAGGCACCAAAGCAACAGAGAGAAACCCTGTCTCGAAAAACAAAACAAACAAACAAACAAATAAATAAATAATAGAAAGAATCACAACATGTGATTGGATCCAAGAGCTAATTCTGGGCTGGGTCTTATGCTGTGGGATGGTCTGTATGTCAAATGTGTTGCTGATTGGTCAATGAATAAATCACTGATTGGCAGTGGCCAGGCAGGAAGTCTAGGCGGGACAAGGAGGAGAATAGAGCTGGGAAGTGGAAGGCTGAGTCAGAGAGACACTGCCAGCCGCCATGATGACAAGCCGCATGTGAAGTTGCCGGTAAGCCACGAGCCATGTGGCAAGGTATAGATTAATGGAAATGGATTAATTTAAGCTGTAAGAACAGTTAGCAAGAAGCCTGCCATGGCCATACAGTTTGTAACCAATATAAGTCTCTGTGTTTACTTGGTCGGGTCTGAGCGGCTTGGGACTGGCAGGTGAGAGAGATTTGTCCTGACTGTGGGCCAGGCAGGAAAACTCAAGCTAAAGTCTTAGATAAGGGACAACTTGCTGAGGTGGTCTTACAGAGGGGAAGGCAAGGCCCTGAGACATGGCGTGACTGGCCTGGAGTGCCGGAGTGTGGCAGCCACTGAGTGCAATGTCTTACCTGAGAGGTGAAGGGTCCTGGACCTGTGGTTTCCCCCTGCTCCTGTCTTGGAAGAAACTCTCCAAGTCTTCCTCATCTTCAGAGCCATTCTGATCACTGTCCGGGTCAGATGGAAAGGGAGACCCCACTAGACTCCAGCTTCCTTTCTGCTTTCGAACCTGTAAGGTCCTGTAAAAGCTCCCAGTGGAGTCAGAAGAAGAATCTGTCTCCTCCTCTGGGCTGAGGAACTCATGGAGTTTGCCAGCTCTGGGCAAAAGCAGTCCTTCTCCAGACAGCTCATCTTCTGGCTCAGTGTCTGAGGAGGATTTGGGGGGAAATATCTAAAACAAAATAGAAATCAATAATCAGTTAAACTCTAATTTCAAAGGTACTTAAAAATGACTTTAACTTTACTTTGAATAAGCCTCAGTATATTGGGGACTAAGAAGGGGCAAAGAAAAGTAAGCTGTGTTCTTCACTCAAAAGACATTTCACAACACGAGGTATTAGATGCCTGACTATGGGCAGCAAAGGTTGCTGAAGAGCTAGCGCCAGTTCCTGCTCCATTCAGCACAGAAAGCACTCTGAGTACCTAATTGGAACCGCACATTCTGTTCTCAGTGCTCCAGGAGTCCTGCCCATGACCTTGGCTACACTCTGTTCCCAGGTTTACTTGGGATTTATGTAATTGTTACCCATCTTCCTTATTTCCCCATCGACCCTCTTACTTTCCTCATATCCTAACCAATTTCCACACCGTTACCAGGAATGGGTGATTAACAGGAAGAGTGATGTGTCTAGGTGACAGAGCTACATGGAGAGTAGAACTCCCAACCAGCTTTGAAATCCTTCCAGGGCTAGGAGTGAAGCTTGGTGGTGGAATCCTTGCCTAGCAGGCTCAAGGGTTGGCCTTGATGCCCAGCACTGTAAAGCACCAGCATCAAAACTACATTCATCCATTTGTATATAAGACAATATGGGTCGAGCTCCTAGTAGGTCATGAAGCATGTATCCTAGTGAGGGCAGGTGGAAAATAGGATAACATGAGTGTGTCCCAGGAAAGCGTTTCTGCCGATAGATGTCAGAGGTCACCAGGAATGCACCAATAATCAGGATTAAATTCATCAATTTGTTGCTCAACATTGTGGAAAACTATAGCAAATGAGTGGGGATAAGTTTCTAGGATCAGCGTATTCTGAGAAGAGGGTTAGGGGAAGAGGAGCCAACTCTGGACAGGTGCTATGATGAAGAGAACAGTCTAGAAAGGTGGATACTTGTGCAATTTTTTTTTCATTGAAAAAGTGAGAATAAAGCAAGGCAAAGGGAAACAATTGATAAGTAAGCATAATCACTTAGAAGAAAGTAGCAATTTTGCAACTATGTTATAGAACCCCCAGAAACACTGTTTTGTTGGTAATCTTGCTTTTGGCCTTGGCTGTATCTGTTAGTCTGAGTGACAGAGATGCTCTTTCACTTACGATGGGTTATGTTCAGACAGACCCATTCTAAGTTAAAGTATTTTAAATAAAAGTGCACTCATACAGTAACCTAATGAGCACCTAGCATACCAACACAGGACACTTATAAAATAGCCATTGTCCACTCTCCTGATTGTGTAACTCACTAGAAGCTGCAAGTCACTGTCACTGCCCAACACAGAGTATCCTACTGCTATGTAGAGAAAGACTGAAATCTGGGGCGAGGGATTTAGCTCCATAGTAGAACACTTGCCTACCATGCACAGGGTCCTAAGCTCAGTCCCCAGTACCACAAAAATAGAAAACAAAAGTTTAAAGTACTGTTTCTATTGAATGCATGTTGCTTTTCCACCATTATAAAGTTGAAAGGTAAACGGAACCACTGAAGTCAGGAATGTCTGATTTCCAGTTTTAGGCTGATTTTTACTTTCTCAAATGAATCTGGTAGTGACAGAAAGAAGGCTGGGCTGGCTGAAGGACAGTGGCCTCAGATGTCCTTAGATTTGGCAGGTATGAGACGGGGGGGGGGGGGGGGGGGGGGGGGGGGGGGACGGGACACACACTACACGACACTATAGATGTTTAGCTGCAGTTGGAGCAGTCCATCCGAGTTAAAGATATGTATGTGCTGTGATCATAGCTCTGTTGCTGAAGAGCATGTGATCTAGGGCACAATTCTCTCCTCCCCCCCCCCTTTTCTTCTCTCCCTCTCTCTGTTGTGACAGGGTCAAAGGGTGACCTTGAACTCTTGATCCTTCTGCTTTAGTTTCTTGAGTTGTTGGGATTACAGGTCTGAGCCATCATGCTGGCGCTTTCTTTTAAAAACAACGTTATTGAAACACACTGTCCACAGTATACAACTCAACTGTTTGAAGTGTATAACCCACCGGTTTCTAATATAGTCAGAGTTGTCTAACTCTCACAGTGCAAATTCAGAACATTTTTCATCATTCACCTAAAGCAGTGGTTCTCAACCTTCCTAATGCTGCGACTCTTTAACACAGTTCCTCAAGTTGTGGTGACCCCCAACCATAAAGTTATTTTTGTTGCTACTTCATAAATGTACTTTTGTTACTGTTAGGAATCATAATGTAAATATCTGATATGCCACCCCTATGAAAGGGTCATTCAACCTCCAAAAGGGTCAGGACTCACGGGTTGAGAACCATTGCCCTCAAGAAACACTATAGCCTTTAGTAGGCATTTTTTATTTCCCTTAACCCTCCCATATCGTCTTTCCCTCTGTCAGCCCTAAGCAACCGCCAGTCTACCTTCTATCTTTGTAGATTTGGGGGCAAATTGTTTGATCTGTCTGTTTTCTTTTCTAGAAAAATGAGGTTGAGCGGAGACACGTACACAGTTTAATGAATTTTAGTATATTCGCAAAGCTGCGCATTCATCACTACAGTAAATTTTGGTTCATTTTTCTTGCTCTACAATAACAACAAAAACCTTGGAAGCCTTTAGAAGCCTCTCGGTTTCTCCCCCACCTCCTCAGTCGCACGCAATGACTTGCCCTTTGGATTTGCCTTTTCTCGATAATTTTAGGAAGATGGAGATCACTTTAATATTTTGAAAGTTAATTCGTGGTTTGTTATTGCTACGCTCCCCGATGTCAGAGCCTGGTACAAGAAGCAAGTGGTCCAAGTCCCCAAGACAGATTCTCTCAATGCCTAACCGCAGGCAATTTTAATTCCACGCCCTTCGGCGACACGCCCCTGACTCTGTCTCCACGGCAACGCTAAACAGTTTCCTCTCTTGGGGATTCCTTTCTGAGGCATCCTGCTTCCTCCTTTCTCTGCTCACCTCACGGCTCCACTCCGCGCACTCGGGGGCTCCGGCAGACCTCCCCACAGTCATCTTCCCAACCAGAGGCAGAAGCGGCGGTGACAGCGGCGCGGGCGGCGAGGCACTGCTAGCCACGCCCCTTTAGAGCGTTAGCCTGGGATTGGCCAGTCTGTTCCGCCCAAGGAGTCAGGAGGCGCTTTCTGATTGGCTTATTCTCCTCGCGCATTTTATTTCCGGTCCTGAAGACAGGGCTGAGCAGCACGGGTTAGGAGACTGCCCCGGAAGCACTATCCGGGTTAGGTCCGTGGGGAGTCCAGGCTTCATGCGCAGGCGCGAGTCACTATGGCGGCCCGCATTGGCTCGATGACCCGCTTGCTGTGCGTCCGCTGGTGGAGTGCCGCGGGACTCGGCCCTCTGGTTGCCGGTCGGCGATGGGCCGGCTCCTCGGCAGACACCGTGTACGATGTGGTAGTATCAGGAGGAGGCCTGGTGGGCGCTGCCATGGCTTGTGCCTTGGGTAGGTGCATCTCGACCGTGGCGGGGAACCGGGCAGCTCAGAGTGGAAGTCGGGACGCTGTACTAAAAAAACAAAACAAAACAAAACAAAAAACAAACCAAGCGTGCCTCACCTGGTGGTTTGCTCGCGACCCTCCCAGAGGAGCCCTCGGGCCGACGGGAATGAGCACGATGCTTCAGTACTATGGGAAAAGTGGGTGACCCTTCTAAGTCAGTCCGACGCTTGGCAACTGCCCAGGATTTATGAGCACTATGGGAGGCATTAGGCCTTGTAGTATCGGATAGTAGGCCAGGTTGGACTAGAACTCATAGATCTGCCTGCCTCTTTCTCCTGAGTGCTGGGGATTAAAGGCGTGCACCACTACGCCCGGCCCTAAAGCAGCTTAAGATAACTGTTGACATAGTTATAAATCCTCCCACTTCAAGCATGCGGTCCAGTGAGTTTTTAGTACATTCGCAGAGCTATACAGTCACCACAAAAAGTTTGAGTACATTACCCTTACTCTAACAAAACAAACAAACAAACAAATCTTGGAACTCATAAGTTACTCCATTTCTCCTCATCCTCACAGCCCTAGACAGCGACTCTCCAATTTTCTGTCTGTAGATTTGCCTTTTCTGGATAGTTGGATGTAAGTGGACATATACTTAGTGTTTTCAAGGTTAATCCATGTTGCAGCATGTATCAGAACGACGTTCTTTTTGAGGGCTGAAGCAATACTCTATTGTGTGTACGTGCCCATTTATTAACGGATGAACGTTTGATTTGTTTTCACTTTGGCCTATAACAGGTCATACTTTCAGAAACATTTTGTGTGCAAGCGTTGGTGTAGACATAGTGTCACTTATCTTGAGTTTATTCTCACCAGTGGAATCTCCAGGTTACGTGGTAACTAATGTTTTGAAGAACTGCCAGACTTTGAGAGATTGTACCATTTTACATTATCATGAAGAATTCAACAGGAATGCTCCAGTTTCTCCAGACCGTGACAGCACTACCTACAGTCCTTTTGTTTGTGGGTAGGAAGTGGTTTGTGTTTGTATTTCCCCAGTGACCAATGATGACTAAATTTACCAAGTGCAGGCATTGTACGCCACCATTCCTGGTCCCTTTGAAACTTAGAGTTCATATTTTGGTGGCTTGCTTCTGTGTTAGATTTTTGTGAGTTTTTCAAAGTTTGCTTTGCTGCCCTTTTCTCGTCTCTTCCCGGGTGTCACAGCGAGGGAGGGCAGCACTGCTTCCCTCTTATTAACACAGACACACAATTCTGTAATGAATTGTTTCCTTCTCTGTCCATTTTAAAACTCAGGAGTGACGTTAAAAGTCAGGGTGCTAAAAGGCACGGTGGTAAACTCCTGTGATCGCAGCCCTTGGAAGGTAGCGGCAGGAGGATCAGAAGTTCAAAGTCATCTTTGGGCTACATAGTAAGTTTGATTGCATTGGATACATAAAACCCTCTGTAGCATGAATCTTAAAAGTTCTTATTAATAAAATCAAACCCGAGGCCAGTTATTGGGGTGAATGCTGGAAGGTCAGAGTACCAGAACAAGCCACAGCTATTTCACCTTGCCAATTCCTCAGCTGGTCCTGTTTCCTCAGACTGGAAGCTTCTATGTCCTCATCCCAATGGCTCTCAGCTGAACTGCTGCTAGAAGCCTGAATGCTTAACCAGCCAAAATGCTTAACCAGGCCAAATGCTCAACCAGCCAAATGCTTAACCAGCCAAATGCTTCTAGTTTCTGGTCCTCACGCCTTATAAACCTTTCTGCTTTCTACCACCACTTCCTGGGATTAAAGGCTGCTTTCTGGGATTAAAGGCGTGAGTCACCATGCCTGGCTGTTTCCAATTCGGCCTTGAACTCACAGAGATCCAGAGGGATTTCTGTCTCTGGAGTGCTAGGATTAAAGGCGTGTGCTAACATTTTCTAGCCTAAGTATCTTGTGGCTTTTCTGTTCTCTGACCCCAGATAAGTTTATTAAGGTACACAATATTTTGGGGAACACAGTACCACCACACCCTCTGTCAAAAAACAAAACAAAACAAAACAAAAAAAAAACACCCAAACAAACAAAAATATGTGAGTAAGACATTTCCAATAGGTTTTTGTTTGAAATAAGATCCTACTCTATCTCTGGCTGGCCTGGAACTTCAAGTGACACCACATCACACACACACACACACACACACACACACACACACACACACACATTCCAAGCACACTCCTAATTCATGCTAGATCCTACTCTATCCCTGGCTGGCCTGGAACTTCAAGTGACACCACACAAACACACACACACACACACACACACACACACACACACACACACACACACATACACTCTCCAAGCACACTCCTAATTCATGTAGGCTTTGATTAATGTTTCCCTTTTAGTCCACTCTGTTTTCCTTTGTTATTCTTCAAACTCACAACTAATTTATGTTTCAGGCTTGTAGCTCCCTCTCACATTTGGATTTGGGAACAGTTCCCTGCATAATTTCTCAAGTACATTTCAATCCATTCTTGTAATATACCATTCTTTTTATTTAAGCCTCCTACTCCTGGGCTCAAACAGTATCCCTGCCTGAGTCCCTGAGTGGCCAGGAATACAGGTGTACGCTACTACACCAGGCCGCCTTACATTATTTCTAAGTGTTTTTTTCATTTTAAAAAAAGTCACGGGGTTGGGGATTTAGCTCAGTGGTAGAGCACTTAAGCACAAGGCCCTGGGTTTGAGCTTCAGCTCCAGAAAAAAAAAAAGTCACATTAAATAGTTAACAAATAAAATATATCACCTGGATGTGTTTTATAATGTGTTTAGAAAACTAATTCTTTTTTGTTTGGTTTTGGTGTTTTGGTTTGGTTTTGAGGACAGGGTTTCTCTGTATAGCCCTCCAACTCCCTCTGTAGACCAGGCTGGCCTCAAACTCACAGAGATCCGCCTGCCTCTGGCTCCCTAGTGCTGGGATTAAAGGTATTCGTTGCCACCGCCACCACCCAACCACATTATTTCTTTATAGCACCTTCATTGCCAATAGCAAATTACCTCTAGTTCTTAGCTTTTTCCAATACTGAGGAGACTGCTGCGGGCCTTCTCCCAGTAATAACGTTTCCAAGTCCAGTTTTCACTGCAGATGGTTTAGAATCGGGGTTGTAGTGTATTTTTTAAATAATAGGGTTTTTTTTTTGTTGTTGTTGTTTTAAGATTTACTTACTTATTATGTACACAGTGTTCTGCCTGCACACCAGAAGAGGGCTCCAGATCCCATTACAGATGGTTGTGAGCCACTATATGGGTCCCGGGAACTGAACTCATGTCCTCTGGTAGAACAGCCAGTGCTCTTAACCACAGAGCCATCTCTCCAGTCCCTAAATAATAAATTCTTTATTCTATCTTGAGACTGCAGTGAATTTGTTTATGTAAAATACTCCATTGTTTTATGTTTCTGTTCTAAACCCTCCTCCTCACTTTCTCCTGTGTGTGTGAACGTGCTCAACCACAGCCTAGAGACGAACCCCCAGGCCTCGCTCGCTCATGCGAAGCTAGTGCTATCCTGTTGAGCTGTATGCATCCAGGGTCATGAAGTTTCGGTTTTAGTGAGTTCAATCGGAGGTTAAGAAATAGATGGCTACAAATTTTTTATTCTTCCTTCCTAAGGAATTCTACTTGCTACTAATAAATTTTTCCATTATTTGCTTCTTTGTGTGACATATAGTGAACTCTGGAGACACTGTACAGTTGTGTGGAGGGTGGCTGTCTAATGAAATGGTGGATTATGTTATTGCTTAGGATAGTGGTTTTTTTTTTTCCCTGCTAGGTAATTGGAATTATTATTTTTGCAGTACTGAAGATTGAACTAGGACCTCAACTTGATAGGCACACATGCCACCACTGAGCTATATCCCCAGCTTAGAAACTTATTTCCAAGGCTAAGAGACTACTTAATCTTTTTTCTTTTTGTTGTTTTTTTTTGTTTTGTTTTTATTTTTTGAAACAGGGTTTCTCTGTGTAGCCAAGGCTGTCCTGGAACTCACTCTGTAGCCCAGGTTGTCCTCAAACTCACAGAGATCCACCTGCCTCTGCCTCCTGAGTGCTGGGAGTAAAGGCGTGCGCCACCACCTCCTGGCTGTTTTGTTTTTTGAGACATGTTCTCGTTCTGTAGCCTAGACTGACTGCAAAATCATGGTAACCTTCCTAGCTTAGCCTCCAGGTGCTAGGATTACAGGTGTGAGCTACCAGAGCTGGTTTATATTTGTTTCTAATTGAAGACTTGAAACATAAAAATTACACTTATTAATGGTGTGCTTTGTAATGTTTTGATACATACATAGGTTGTATACTTCAAATCTGCTTAAACATTTCCTTAAGCACTTACTATTTCTTAATGATGAAAACTTTCAAAATCCTGGCCTTTAGAAGTGGGCAACACATCCTTATTAGTTGTAGTTGCCCTACTACATAATTAAATCCTTGGCTTTCCTAAAATGACTTAAATGTCAATTCTTTTTCTTTCTTAGGACATGATATTCATTTTCGTGACAAGAAAATCCTGTTGCTGGAAGGGGGTCCAAAGAAAGTACTGGAGAAGTTGTCAGACACTTACAGCAACAGAGTCAGCTCCATTTCCCCTGGCTC